GTGGGTTTCCTGAAAGTCTCTTCAGCAGCTGTATATACAGGAGTGTATACTCAGAGATACCTTGAAAAAGACTTATGGTGTTCTTAGGGTAGTTTTACCAGTGAAATTCAAATACACACTCTTGTGCAGCAGACACACTTAAGTGTCCATGCTCTACTAAGATCTGGTCTGATCAAATTTTTGCAGCCCACGTTCTTCTGATATCAAAGTGTTATGGGTATCATGTACTCTTGAAATTGCATTCTGTTATTTAAGTGAGGTGTAAAAAAGTTAGTTCTCAGAATTTACATTAACAGGTAATGCCCCTTAATATCAGTGCATTATTTTCTTTCAGAATCTCTCCCTACCAGCAATTTATGATGTTCTCTCCACAAAGCCTGTGCTCAATAAGGTAATACTTCTATTTTTGCAGGAAATTTAGAGTGGGGAGCAGACCACTAACTACTGTACATATAAGGAGGAGGCTTCAGTGGTCCATTCAGGGTTTTTTAAGTGAAAACATGTATGTAGAAACAAATTTCACATTACTTTGTGAAAGCAAAATGTAATTGCTGGACTAGCTATTTTCCAAAGGCTGTACAGCTTTAAAATTCTCACTAGCCTGAGCCCTTTCCTTATAGCTGGCCCTGGTTTGAGGCAGCAGCTGCTCTGCAGACATCTTGAGCACCCTTCTAACCAGAATTAATGTGTGAATCTGAATCTCTGTAATTCATATAAAACAAGTTAATATACCTCATTATTTAGGCATAGTAGAAGCACATTACTCTTGCAACACGAGGTTTTAGACTGGAATTGAAGTTTTGGTGTTTAGGAAAAAAAAATCTTAAGGAAATAGTTTTTAAGAGTTCTTGAATTATGAAGTTTAGTTCCTGTGTTAAGTGGAGGCAGCATTCTTGACTGAGAACACAGACAATTCATACTTTCATGTTGTTGACTGAAGAAGGTAAACACTCATTTTAGTAGAACTGTTCACCTGTATCAGAGAGTTTTTCACTAATTGCTGTAATGTGGTTTATTTTCTTTTTTCTTCTTCCTGCCCTGTGCCCATTAGCTGACGGTGTGCACAACGCTGATGGAGGTGTATAATGGCCATACAGAGACTTACCTGCGGGAATGCCCAGATCCCTGTAGTCCTTGGTAGCCCTGTACCTCTCAGGCTGGAAGCTGCTTGTCCCAGTGGGCAGTCCTCCATCAGAAAATGCTTCTGGAAAGAGATTACTCAGTCTAACTCCTTTCTTCAGAAATCTAGTGCTCTATAGAAATGGCAAAGTGCTTCTAACAGTGAAGGACCCCATCTCACAAGGACTTTCTTACTTTGTTACCTGCAGTTCTGCTGACAAGAAATTTATCCTCGTCAGTGTCTGGTTTGATTTCAGCCATTTCTGCCAAATGAGTTCAGCAGCTAATTCTAGATCTTTTCAGTCTTGGCAGTATTCTTTGTGTGTTGTTGGTTGGGGGTTTGTTAAGTTTTGGGTTCTTTTGTTTGGTTTATTTAGATTAAAATCCTTTTAAAGAACACAAGTTATAATGGCACCTACCAAGCATAAAAAAGAATTGGGTATAAGAAGACCATCTGGGACAATAGAGTTCTGTTATTCTTTCATAAGCACTTAGAATGAATTGCTATTCATTCTAAGTATAATATGAGGATATGTCAGATATGCCCTTTTATAAAATAACCTACTGATTGTCATATATAGTCACAGAAGCAAGGTCTTGGGGAAATATCTGAAACAAGATCTAAGCCAAGAATGTCTTGCTACTGATTTATAACTCTTTTGCTGAAGCTCTTTCTTGGCCTGTTAACAAATGTGGTTTTTTAATACAGATTTTTCTGTTGTCTCAAAAAAAAAAATACAATAAAGAAAAGATACTTTCTGTCACCAAAGTACACATGTACTGATTTCATACTTCAGTCTCAGACATCATGCATGTTAGATACCACAGTGTTTTCATTTCCAAATAGACTGTGTCTGAAAAACTGATTTCTTCTGATTTTGTAAACTGGTAGTTAAAGCTGTTACCATAATTATGTAATTGGGTTGTTCTGGGAGGATTTTGGTTCATTGGGTTTTTCAAAGGTAGGGAAAGGAAGCCAAGTCAGATTACACCATTGTCTGCAATTCAAGTTAAGAAAGAAAGGTTATTTAGAGAGAAGTAGTAGCACCCTTATATCCTAGGAAGCAGATAATGTAGGAGGCAGTAGTTTTATCTGTGCCACTGGCTGCATTGCTGGGACTAGATTGCACTTCCAACCTGTGTTTTCTACACAAGAATGCTATTTAACAAATAATTTTAGCAGCTGATAAAGAAACACGGCTTTTGGTTGAAGAAAATGAAGTACTGATATTTTAGGCCTTAGAACAATGCCTGTAATGCACAGCAAGAAGCAATTAAGGGGGATGTAGCACTGATAAATTGAGAGCACACAGAAATCAACATCCCACTGATTAAACAAGGCCTAGTCTAGTTGTACATCTAATTTCTTTTTTAACTGAAGCATGCAAGCAGAAGTGTGTTAGCATGATTATACTTCCAGGGTCCGTTTCTAATCTCAGCTATGAATATTGAATCTATTAAAATCAAATGTAACAACACAGTTTAAATCAGTGAAAAATGCGTGTGTGAAACACAGCTCCTGAGCCATTTGATTCGTAAAAGACAATTAAACCAAGTCAGATGTTGCAGTTCGTACTGTGAAGAGCCCATCACGTGTTTCTGAGTGTACACCTCAACCTGCTAGGGGATTGTTTGGATTTATGTGGAATGAAGTTGTGTAACATCCATAATCAAATTACTGCGTAATTTAAAAAACAGTTTACTTGCTTAATTAGTCTTGTCCCACTTTAGCATATGTAGAACAAGGCAGTGTAGACTAGTAACAGTTAAGTAATGTCCCTTGTGCAAGACAATCCACATTTCCACACTTTGAAATTGCTTTACAATTGCAAAAGAACAGCTAAATTCCATAGATGTCTGTCCAGAGCCTGAATGCCTATGCTGCTATTCACTAAAATAAACAAAGGTATTTAAAAACAAAGCCTTAATGTACAAAAAGTGGTGAATGTTGTTAATTGCTTATTGATTTAACCTTCACCTGTCAATTCTGAAAGGTTTCTCAAGACAGAAAAAAAATTTAATTTGCTTTTGTTACAGATAGACATACCTATTTTAATGTCAGTTTCCTGTCTTACCCCTGCTGCTGCTTCTCTAGGCACAGTGATGGAAACTAAGACCATTTGGCTAAAGAAATGTTTGCAGCTACTTGCAATGTTGGGAATTTGTTTAGTTGCCTTTTATTTTACATAGAAAGATACAATGGCAATGGTTGTGTTTTTTCATATTAATTTGCTGCACACATAGTTGAGATCCCTCACAAACACTGAGGGGGTGGTCTGATTACTTTTTCTTAGGTTTGTGTTTTCCCTAGGTCAAGTAAGCATCCATATATATTTTTCTCTTCAAGTTTACATAAGAGTTTTATACAGCTTTTCTAATTCACTTGTGAAAAACAAAATTATTGCAAAAAAAGGTCAATATGTGAGCAACAAGAAAATCATACTTAATTTTTGATTATTACTGCATAGTCTAGTTCTAGAAAAATCAACTTCAGTCTTAGCTTCTAGCAGATTTACTGTGTATGTAAATGCAAAGTGTTAATCCAGTTTACTATAAACTAAATTAAATAAGTTGTTACATAAGAGACCAAGCTGTTTGAGTGCTGGCATTTAAATGGAAAAAATCAGTCCGTTTGCAAAGAAAATTTTTACCTTTACTGTTCCAGGAACCCATGCAGTGAAGCCCCATACCATTTCAGAGGAAAAAGAATGTCATTTCCCATGTTAAGAAGCAAAATTTTGGCAGTTAATGAGGACAGGAGAAGGCAGGAATTAGAATTTAAATCAAAATCAAGCAGTAGTTCTGGGACACATGCAAGTGAGTTTGCTTTAGAGTCAATTACAAGTCAAGGCTTTGCTTAGAAGCAGAACTCCAGAGCAGGGCCCATAGATGTCCTGACAAATACCTGCAAGGAAAGCAGCAAGAGTAAATAAAAGATTTTCACTGGAGTGAGTAGGCATGATGGAGAGTGGATGGACAAGCATCAGGTGAGAGCTTCAGGCAGGCTCCACAACTAACAAGGAAATACTCCTTCCTCCCAGCACAAGCACATGTTCTGCTTTCACACAGCTAGCTCCTTGGGTTACAGGTGCAAGGAGAAAGAAATGCAAAGGAAAAGCTGGATTCCACCTCAGTGATTGGCAACAACAGCTTATGGCAAGATCCTGCTTATGCATGGATCATCAGATGAATTCTGCTTTTGGAGGACCAGAGCTGTTAGTGAGAAGGGCACACCCAAGCTCTCTGAGCAGTAAAACCTCTCACCCTTTCAACCAGAAGAACAAGATGAGCCAGGGTAATGCTCAATAAAAGAAGTGGCACAAGCCACATTTTGCCTTGGGAAGAAAACTGCGGATTTTATGCATTCTCTAAGAAGCTGCCTTTGACAGTTAAGAGAGTCTGGAAACTGAACATACCAGTTGGCCAAAGGCTGTGATCTAGAACCAAGCCAACCATGTGGTTGTTCCCTTGAGCTTTGCCTACCAGTTTTTCAGACCATTTTAACTTGGCAGAATCAAATATTTTGAAGGTCCTTTGTAACTATGTCTGCTCCCACACAGTTGTGTACAGGAGAGGACAATAATTAAAAAGGAGCTAGCCTGCTTACATACCAAGAAGCACTAGGGACATTTTCTGATCTGCAGTGAATCAGCTCTGAATTATATTAATTGCATATGGGACAATCTTAGTCTAGTCTATTTTGCAAAGTTTGTTCTCCTAGCTCAAGGGTTATACATGAGCAATAGAAGGATCCCAGTAATGAGTCTGCCTCTGCTGGAGATTCTGCATTTAAGGTAACTCCAGTATTTGCTTAATGTTTTGTACTATTGGTCCTGCCTTTCTTTTAAACTTGCTAGTTTTTCTCTATTTGGCAGATACACAGTGTAGGAAAAAAATCTCAGTAAGATTTTTTTTTTTTTTGTCTGCACTAAAAGAGATTAGATCACAAGCACTGAGTTGTAGTAAAGTGCTGCATTGCCATCATGTTTTTAAAGCGAAACTTGAATTCAAGTACTAGACATAGTCTAATGTTTGGATTAGACAGTCTTTTCTCAGGCTACACCCACCATCTGAATTGCACCAGTATTTAAACTTTGAGTAGTTACATATAATTTGCATCAGCTCAGTTTCCAAAATGCTACATTTACATTTCTGCAAGAGGTGTACATGCACCCCCTGGGAGCTGGAAAGAGTTCTCTTAAGACAGCCATATGCAGCTCCATGAAACTTCATGCCTTCTGTGTGAACCAGCTGGGAAAAATAAGTAAATGTGACTGCATGTAAAGGAGAAAACAGGGAAGGGAAACAAAAAGTGAAAGGAGCAGGAGCCAGTGTCAAGAAATGTTAGAGGAAAGAGAAGTAAAACAACAGAAGAAGACAGACAATAGTGGCAGGCTATGAAGATCTAGCAACTGCAGTGTGCTCCTCTACTGAGCCTTCCTTTGCTGTCAGCTGAATCCCCAACCAAAATGTGCCTCCTCATCTGCAGCAACTGGTGTTATATATTTTCAAATTATGCTGAGAGGCAGTATATCTAAATTGATTCTTTAAGAAAATAATATTGAAATTAAAAATACATATTATCTCAAGCAACTGTTCTTCAGATTTAAAATCAAGTTGCATTAGAAGTATACTCAGGCTGTGAAGTGGCCAGAAGTGTAGAATCCATTTATTCCCCTTTCTTTTTGAATCAGATACAGTCTCTTTGTATGATTCCAAAATTCCCTTTGCAGAGATCCCTTGTTTCACTCACTGCACAGGATGGGCTGCATTCCTGTGAAGAATGAGAACAGCATAACAAAGGAGAAACCTGTTCCAGTTTCCAAGACATCTCTCTTGCTAGAGAAGGAATGATATTACAGACCAGACACATTTCAGTACCTACTAAACTCTCACCCCAGCTCTGCTAGGTGCTGCACAGGCAGTAGGTTGTGCTGTCTAGCTGGTACCCAATCTGTGATATCAGGGGTTGTATTTTGGAAGTATGGATCACAAAGGCAATTAAGACAGTGGGAGCTATGCTGCAATCATATAAAGTACTGTAAAGTGAATCCTAATTTTTTTACATCTCAGCTGAGTCTCTCAAAACTATCCAGCTGTCTTGATTTCAAACTCTGTAGGTCAGAGCTCTATATGTAACACAGGCACAATATCCCTTACTTTTCTCATTATCAGGAAGATAAACTAATGCAAAAAGTCTAAAGTTGTCAAAGAAAGTTAATTTAGTTTGATCCCAGCAAGTCTTCAAGGATCATGGAAGGCAGAGCAGCATGGGGAAACTGATAAAAAATTAGTCACTTCAATGCAAGACTTGTATTGTTCACTAAATAAGCAGGGCTGAGAGCATGCTGAACATAGACACCCCCGTGCTGGCTGAGGCATTGACTTTGTGAAAGGGCCAGCAAAAGGAAAAAGAGGGGAGATGTGACTATGTGGTTAAGAGCCCTGTGAGCACAGGGCAGCAGGTTACATACCAGTACTTACTATGATTCTGGCATTTTCTATTTTGTAGTGCTTGAGTGTCTGAGCTAGACAGGTCGAGATTTTAATTAATGAGGAGAATGAAAGATACAGCAGATTCTGGCATGTGTCTGTGCACGAAAGAGAAATAGTAAAGGAATTTGACACAGATCCCATTTACTCAAGGTGTGCAACACAACCTCCCACCATGCCATCTGCACCAGCATCTGCTCTGCGGTCACTCATACTACATTTTCTTTGTGAAGATCTTCCCTATACCTTTGCCCGGCAAAGCAGCAACCCACTAATTTTCTCCTCCAACCTCTGATCAGACTCTATATTTATTTCTTCCTCCTGAGACTGCTCAGTTGATTATCTGCCTCCTTCCTATCAAGTAGCTTGCAAGTGCAGTGCATGCCTATATCATTCTAGATAAGCATCCCAGCCACCCAAATGGGTTTGAAAGGAAGCCAAGTGACTTAGCCTATCCCTGTCTCAAGCTCCCACTTTCAATAATGTCTGTGTTACACAATATCACAACAACATTCCAGCACAAATCCTGCTTCCCACGGCCCTTGGTGCCAGGGCTACCTGCAGTCTGAAATACCTTCTTTATTTATTTTTTTTTAATAAATAGTACACTTTATTTTTTTTTTTTTTGGCTTGGCTCTGAGTATGCAGAGCTGAGCCAGCACCTCTGTCTGCTACATGACAGGTGACAGCTGTTTCCTGTTTCTGAAAGCAGTGTTACCAGCCACACCGTCCCTCTCCTTAATTTAGAAAGCTCTTCTGTTGTCATCTGGTTCTACACTTCCACATGCAGGCTGAGGTCTGTAACAGGAATAACAGCACTGAGGTTACACAACACTTTCCCTGTTCAAACCACTGGGCAAGGAAACCCTCAGGAATTGTTTATTGTAAACATTTCCCACAGACTAAGCAGCAAGCAGTCTTGCTCCCCTGCATTTTCTGGTGTAACATGCCAACAAAGAATCATGCTCAAGAACCACTATATGGAACAAGGTATAGCTCTGTGGACATTCTATGTTTGCAGTTGAAGGTTCATGCCAAATATACTTCTCAGCTCTGAGTATCTGCCAAGTGGATTCTTATTAATGGGAGAAAAAAAAAAAGAGCAATAGTAGATTTTATTATCAGCATAAGAGATTAAACCAATCTCTGCTATAAATTGCAAGCAAGACCAGGGCTAATCTCAGGGATTTTTTTACAGTCACCTCTTCTTGCAGTTTCTAAAGAGCAGTCTCAAACCTTTGAAGTTTTTTAAATTCCTGCTTACAACTGTTAAAATATGAGGGGTTTTTTTCTGGTATCCACCAGTTCTCAGAGGCACTACCTTCTGTAGTGACATTTACAGATGCCAGTCCCACAGTCTGTACTATGCAGACAAACACCCACACCTTGACTCCTCAATGGACCCACATGCCTGGCAAGTTAGCGAGCCAGAAATGCAGCAACAAATAGCAGTAACAAAAGCACAATACATGCTGCAACAAGTACAATGGAGCTGTAAGTCACGTCACTACAAAACACCAGCCTCCACTGTGCAGATATTAAAAAAAAAAAATTCTCAAAGAGGCACAGATTTGAGATGAAATGTGATTATTGCAATTCTGATAGAATTCACTATTTTAACCGTGTACTCTACAATGTCTGGCAACCTTATTCCAACATTGTTTTTAAACAGAGATATCTAATCCATAAAATAGTACCCATAACTTTATCTTCTAGAAACTTACAGTGAAAAATTGCTCTTTCTTTCCTTTTGAAGACATAAACCACCTAAAAGGATTAATGAGTAAAAATGTGGGAACTAGTAAGCATTCCAGTTTTTCCTTCAAGATATTAAAATGTCCTGTTCAGGTTGATTCTGAAAGCTTCTAAACAAATTATGTAAGTTACCTATCCTAAGTATTTGGTTCACAACAACAACAAAAGGATTAATGATTATGTTACTTTTAGCCTTTTAAAGTTATGCTATTGAAAACACTAATCAAAGATTGCAGTCACATTTTCAGTCCTTGCCTGTTGTAGGTGGATTTCATGGAGCAATAAGATTTATAGCTTCATCATGACACAACATCTATAAGGCTGAACTCATTCAGTTGCTAATGAAATGTGATCTGGGGACTCTTGTACCAGCTGGGTGATGATTAGGGCTTATCACAGATAGGTCTAGGAAAAGGCTGGGAAATACTTAAGCTTGTTTTGCAGTTGCTTTGAGCTCTTAGGAAAAGAGTCATTTCTCTACAACATCAGCCTGAAGTTCTCTGCCCATAAAAGAGAGGTAATGTTAAGGTTTTTAACTGATTTGCAAGTGACAGGGTTATATGAAGTCTGGCAAAATCCTATCAAATCTTTCTGGTTTAGCGTCTTTTAAACTGTGAGATGGGTACTTTGTCTTCTCAGACAGCTCAAAAAAATGTTAAGCAACTGGCTTCAGAGAAACCTTGCAAAACTTGCTCTATATGATGCCTCTTGACTTGAAATTCTGCTTTTAATAGCTGCCTGCTGGCACAACAAGCAACTCTGCGTAGGTTTCCCACAGCTAAAAGGAGATACTAAATGTAGTTTCTGATTATGGGAATGGCTCCATATAAACTACAAGCAGCAGGGCCACTCAAACATCTAAATTATTGAATAATATTTAAAATAAATGTGTTAAGAAGATAGCTCCTACCCTCAAAAAAAAATTTAAAAGCAGAGGCAGTTCAAAGTTAAACTCTGACTTCAAGAATATCTTGTCCATACATGCTATCAGCTGGGGCAAAAAAAGGGAGTGAAAAATCTATGTGAGGAGTAGAATACCTGTCTCTTTAACACAGACTGTAGCTCAGCTGTAGGGCAGAATTCTGTTTAAAGCCCCTCTTTCTTCAGAGGGCTACACACTTCCTACTCCTTTCCTTGGTAAGGGCAGTCTCCAGCTCCTCTCAAAAAAGAACTGCTGCCTGTCAACTGAAAACTACACAATAGCTTTTAAAAATCAGTAGTTTTCATCAACTGTGAGATTTCAAATTGGGTGATTAAATGATTGAGAGGTTTTTCAGAGTGGATTGGAGAAATAAAACGTCAAATATAACAGAGCACAGTAGAAAAAGCTTCCCCTTGTTTTTGTTTTAAGTAATTTTATTATAAAATACATCCAAATTTGATGCTTTTGTAGCCTAAAGGAAGATTTCTTGAGGGAGTTATTTTTTCCATGAATGTCTCTTATTCAGGTCAAATTCGGTCATTTTTGTAAAAGAAAGCCAGTTCCTTTTCTATTGAACAAAAGCCTTGCATATTTAAAATGGACAAGTGGGTTCTATGGATTTGTTTTTGAAAAAAGATGCTCACTTGTATCCCAGAATATGCTCATGATATTTAAAATATGTGTTTAGGTATGGCGGGGGGAAGGTTAGGCTCTGTTGTAAGAGTGTGGTGGGGTTTTCTGGAGTTTGTGGCATTCCTGTGTGTTTGATTGTTTGGGGTTTTTTTTTTCTATGACTATTTTACATGGTTTTAAGACTGCACCTGACAAGCATTCAACATCAAGGTGCTCAGAAACACTTCAGAGTAGTGCTTGCTTTAGAGATGCAAGTACACAGCGCAGTCTGAGCTAAGGAGTTGTGCAGAGAATTGATAGGTCAGCAAACCTGCTTACGGTTCAGGTCCTACTTCTTCCCTAATGATGTTACCTGCTAATCACGTATCACTCCTTTTGAAATAATTTCAATCTGTATTTGACTTAGGGTAAGAAAAAAGAGTCATGAGAGCTGTACCTAATACAAGTCCTTTAAGTGCCAGCATTCTGCTGACATATTAGCCAAGAACAAGATGAAGAAACAGTTTTGTTCTTTTGTTTAATATTGCCACAATCCAACTGGAGGTCATATGACACAAACCCACTTAGAGGGCACCACATCCCTTTCTGAGATGTAGCCCAGACCAATGCATGTGAGCAGTAACACTCCCAGTACAGATGCTGGGGCTGCCTTTGGTGCTCCTCAGCAGGGCTGGGCTGCAGTACAGAATTCCTTGGTGGCTGCTTTCCTTTGGGCCTGTGCTGGAGGCTATAGTGCTTCCATTCTCTGGACTCTGCCCAGTGTGGAAGGACAAGGTTCAGTGCTTTCCAGAGCGCTTCCCTGAGGAAACTCAAAGCCATGCTACTCTTCTCTGGAACTGGCTGAGAACATTGTCTGTTGTTTCCTTACTGCTAACTATAAAGCAAGCACAGAAAAAAAAGTCCCAAATAAGGCCAGAAAGAGAAGCATAAGTTAGCATTTATTTAAAATTTGTTAAACCCCTTTTGAAGATGAGGGCAAAGGAGAAGTGAAAGAATAACATAAAAATAATAATAATAACAACAACAAAAATAACAACTTTTTAAATTCATGAAGGCTTTTGCCAAAATGCACAGAAACGCTGCTCTTAGTCTGAGAAAGATTGTCAAGGAACAGGCTGACTTTGCCAAAGCTTCACTCCTTACTGTTAACTGTAACTCTCTTGGAACAGAATAATTTAGGTTAGGAGGAGGATCTGGAGGCCATCTGGTCCCTTTCTCGTGGCAAAATTACTCTCAAAGCCAAGTCAGTTGCTCCAGCTGTTGTCCTGTTGAAGTACAGAGATTCAACCTCTTTCCTGTATAGCCCATTCCAGAGCTCCCTCACTTTTCCTGCAGAAAACTTAGGTCATCACCTTCAGAGTTTCCAGACTCAGACCAGCAGGTTTCCATTGTCTTTGTTTTCCATAAGGTGCACCCTGTGAAGTGCAAATTTAATTATGGCCTAATTACTAGGCTAGTGCAAGTGGCTCTCTTTATTTAACTAGGATTTCTAATAAAGGTTCCCTGGAAGCTCTGATAGCAATATGCAGTTACCTGGGCTGGAGCTTTACCAGCCACTGCAGTGGGTTCCAGGGCTGGATGTAGTGTGCCATAATGTGCCATCCTGTACCCTCCCAGCTCCTGACCCAGTGGCTACACCAGCACTCTGGCTGTGCATTGCATGGCTCACTGCAAAACCATCTGGATAGAGGCAGTGGTGTGAAATACTACTGTAGGATTTTAACATGCCTCAAAGAAGGGAATTAGCATGTAGCTTTGTTGAAACACATTCTAATTTTTTTCTTCTCCCTCTTTGTAAATAAGAAACTGTTAGGACAGTTGGACTGATTAAAAATAGTTACATTCTCATTAATAAGATTAGGATTATGGCCAGAAGTCCTACTGTAGGTGAGAAGAGCACTAAGGGGTAAAATGTGCTACCACAAATACCCTGTGCTGAGGGCCAGATAATTTGGAGCATCCTGTGCCCCGGCTTTGCAAAATATTTGTCTGATCAGAGCAGCCAGCAGAAATACCACAAAGTCTGTGTGAACAAGTGTTCAAATGCCTCTTGTGGCTTTGCCACTGTGGCAGACACAGTTTCAACTAAGATTTCTTGTCCTGAGCTTTATTTTTGAAGGCTTTACTTTACTTCTGCTCTTACCTGGCTGGCTGTGGATGCAAACAGGCAGACCTAGACATGCAAATTAAATGTGCTGTCTTCTGGGAGGATGATGAACTTTCTGTAACATGCTTTCCTAGGTATCTTATTTTCACACATTTTTTACACAAAGAGGATTTTTACACAAGAGGCTATCAATATTTCAGGGATAACCATTGTACTTCAAGATTTGATAATTTCTAATACCTATTAATACCTTTGCCATCCCAAATGCAGGTTAAGGATTTTACAGTCCTCTATTCAGTGAAGACTCTTGCAGAAGTGCAGCACAGCAAATAACGTTTTACACCTGCCTGTCACAGCTAAGAAGGGTTTGTTGCAGCTCACCTCCCTTCTTTTTGTTATATAGCACTTCTCCACTGACAGAGGTTCAGCTCCTGATGGAGGAGCAAAACGTGCCCAGTGAGGTGCCAGCAGCCCTAAAGCGTCTGGCCAAATACATAGTGCGTGGTTTCTATGGTGTGGAGTGCTCCCTGGCCCTGGACATGCTGATCCGCTACCCCTGTGTGAAAGAGGAGGACTTGTTACAGCTGCTCAAGTACGAGCGCAAGCAACTGCGCACCGCCCTCAACACGCTCAAGGCGGACAAGCTGGTGAAGCTGCGGATGCGAGTTGAAACGGGGCCTAATGGGAAGAGCACGAGGCACAATTACTACTACATCAATTATAAGGTGCTGGTGGATGTAGTAAAATACAAACTGGATCATGTGCGCAGGAAAATAGAAGCAGATGAGCGGGATTCAACAACCAGATCCTCTTTTAAATGTCCATCTTGCTCTAACACATACACAGACCTTGAAGTCAATCAGCTCTTTGATGCATTTACAGGTGTGTTACTTATATTGCTTATTTGCTGTTATCTTAAAGAATAGCCCTAATAGCATAAAATTGTTTCCTAAGTGAACTTTGCAATAAAAGCATGTTTGTTAGATCATGCTTCTTGTTTGCCTGTGGACAAGGGTCTGGAACAGGATGCTGGGAGGTGAGGGTAAGAGAAGTGCTGCCTCTGTAGAACATGCTAAACATAAGGAAGATTCATCTTGAATGTACAAACTGGGGTTGAGAATCAGATTCCAGGCCTCAGCTTTGCTTTGAACCTGGTTGAGTAATCTTAACTCATCCAAGTTTTGTGAGTGTCACTTCCTAATATGGAAATATGAACACAGTACTGTCTTTACTCTGCTTTGAATCTCTTAGTTAATCTATTTGTGTGGTCAGTCCTTTTGACGGACGAGTTGGACAAGATGGGTAACCATTTGCAGTCACCTACTGTACTAAGCATCTTGCAGTTCAGTGGCACCACAGCAGAGCTGCTCTGTCACTCCTGGGTTGGGAAGTTCAGGCTCCTCACAGGTCAACACAACACATCCACAGGAGTAGTGTCAGAGCTTGTGGATTTTTCTTCTCTAAAACCAAAATAACTAAAGAGTGTTATTTCAAAATTAGTCAAAATGGCATCATAGTGCAATACATGACTTAGAGCACAGCTACTGCAGTGAAATCTGGGTCATGGGATGTGCAAAGGATGCCAGAACCAGGCAGAATGAGCTTTATATATGACTAACCTGAAATGCCAATGGTGAAATTTGTGTTCTGCCAGTTAGCAAAATCATTCCTTTCTTCTAAATGAAGGGACTCTGTTGAGTTACTAAAATGCAAACATTGAAGCTGGTGATATATTTTTACAGAATAAGCTTGAAGGTTTGTCTGTTTTCCTGAATAAATATAGGGTTTTAGCATATGCCTTGACTCTGACTCTGGAACAACTAAAACCAGATGCTACTTATGCTTGAAAATGTCTTCTTACATTAAGAACTGAGAAGATGAGACTGGAGGAGAAAAAAAATAAACTAATGATAGCACATATCTATCCAGTTTAAATTTCTCTCCTGAGACATTTCTCACGTGCATAACAAGGGTATAATACCAATCTGTCTCTAGTTTGCCTGTAGAATTGAGTTCCCCTAGTTAATGTGAACAAATGGATAAGGCCAGAATCTGGGTCAGAGTCTGGGTAAATGTCCAGGCTGGATGATGCTTAACAACATCCTGCTGATCTTTTTGCATTCTATGAACATGACAATTCCCACTTTGGAAAATGTTGCAGAGACTTTTCGCTGCACTTACTGCAACACTGAAGTAGAGGAAGATGGCTCAGCGTTTCCAAAGCACGATGCTCGAACGTTGCTGGCCAAGTTCAACGAGCAGATGGAGCCTGTCTTCATGCTGTTGCGTGAGACCGAAGATATTGTGCTGCCCTATGACTTGCTGGAGCCTCAGCCAACAGAAATACCAGAATTATCAGAAAGGTATGAACATCACACTAGAACTTCTGATCAATACAAATCACCCCAACAACTTAACAGTTGTAAAATCTTTGAAATACTGAACTTGCAGTCTATGTACTCCATTCTGATTTGTTCAGTAGTTTATAATGAAGAAGTCTGTAATATCTAAGGCATGCTATACTTTTTTAATTTTTTGATAATTTTTTAAAGTAATTTATTTCCCAGATTACTCCTTCAGCTAATATTCATACCCCTTTCTATAAGAAATTAATATTTCTCTCAGTGTGATTCATCCAGAGATGCACTACTGAAGAGACCTTGCAAAAATAATGGTTCAGAGCCACTTGCCTCTGACAGGTAAAAGGCAATGTGTAAATTATTAGAGCACTTGTTAAAGTTAGTCTGCTGACAAAACATGTTTTAGGGGTTTGTTTCTTTGTGATTGTTGTTCAGGGCTTTTTTAATGGGAACTGGGGAGGGGGTCTTGCCTGAATTCTACCTCTTCAAAATGTGACACTTCATTCAGCTTTGATCCAAAGTTGGGCTCAAGTGTGCTGGAATCCTGCAGCCGCCCTGAAAAATGGGCACACAGAAGTTCTGCTTTTGGCCTCACATACACCCAAAACTTAACTATTGATGTCCAAGACTCAAAGCACAAGAGGAAAAGAGAAAAGGCAACTGAAAAGCAACCTATCTGGTTGTCACAAAGCACTGTAGAAGGAGCAGCAACAGCCATCAACAATAGTGTTGGTAAGTTTAGTGAATTCACAAATTAATTCCACAGCCTTAGTGTGGTTAAATACAGCTTTCCCACTGAAAATGTAGTGAGCTTGGTTTAGAAGATAATGTTTCAATTCTGTGTTAGTGGTTATCAGATATTAGTTTCCAAAATCTAGTTTTAAGACTGATTGAGGTTATAGTCCTAAAGACAGAGGTTAAGTGTGTCCTAAAACTTCTGGCTTTAGCCATGATGTAATTTTAGTGGTAATTTTTACAATGGAAAGCTCTCAGAAATGTCTGCATTTTCAAGAGAATTCTAGTGTGGGTAAAAAAGATCTAGAATAGAAAAAAGTTTATGTAGGATGCCTGTGGTAACTGTAAATCAATGATCCCTTTAACACTTAGTGTTGTGTATTAGGAGTAAATGCTTATGAAGAAACTGAAGAAAATGTTAAAGAAACTGTCACGGATAATGAAATCATCAAGACTCTTCTGATGCATGAATCCAAGTCATTATCTAGCACAGACCAGGCTCCTATTGTCAAAAGCAAACTACATGGATCACAGAGTGATAGCAGTGAGTTTGAAGAGGATGCCAAGCACTCAAGGGGAGCAGGAACCAAAGTAATAGACAGCAACTTTGAACAAGAGGAGGAACAGGAAACTCAGGGTCCTATTTTAATGGTAGCTGGTCAGCCCTGTTCATATGGGCAAGTTAGTGAAAACCCAGAGCTTGTGTCTCTCATGACAAATGAAGAGAGAAATGCTTATATAAAAGTAGGACAAGAAATGTTCCAGTCTGTCTTTGAGTAACTACAACTGTAGGAATATCCAACCTTGTACAGAATGGATGAAGGCTTCTGACTTATGTTCTTCAAAGTTTACCACTGAAGGGTTTTGTTTGAACTTGCTCTTAAGCAAGATGGTAATCCTGTAGTAGGTAACTACAGTTCAAATATTATAATTGCAGTCACAGCAAGTGTTGTTTGTTGTTGTAATGCTTATACTTTGTGGATGATGTAATTAGTTTTGGAGCATGAATTATTTCAGGATACATTTGGATCTGATTAAAATCATATTTGAAAAGCAGTGATGCAATCTATAATAAGAAATAAATTATTCCACCTCTCTCCCAGAAGTAACAGTTACTTCCAGTAGTGAAAATGAGTCCAAATCCAGTATGACTTGGTTTTATTCCATACCCGTTAATTCCATATACTCATTTGTTAGGTCACTCACTGTACAACAGTAAAGGACAGGTGTCCCACGGCAACCTCCTTACAAGGGAAGAGCTATTACTAAATTGCATTAGTAATACATGAGAAGCAACTCTGGCCTCTGAACTTCCTAAGAATAATTTTTCCAATTCTTCATACTCAGGGCACTACAGAACTGTCTTGAGTGGTAAACTGTGCAAGGGGCACTGGACAGAAAAATGTAACATTTCATTTTGATCCAGATCAGTAAGGGAGCAAGCAATGAATCAATCACAAGACCCTGCTTCTCCCATCTCACTCCCATACTCCCCAGTGTTCTTTTTAAGCAGGAAATAAATTGTGCTTGAAATGAACTACATGAATAGAAGAACTGGCATTAGGCATAAGTGAGAGTTTAATAATCATCAGTTCTACTACTTGAGCAAGAGATAATGAAAATATACTAGAAGGGCACAGAGCTAAATACAGGAAGCTCCCTCTGAATGTTAGGAAACACTTCACTCTAAGGGTGACAAACACTGACACAGGTTACTCAGAGAGGTGGTAGACTTGGGTATCTTCAGAGACTTCCCTCTGAAGATACTCAAAAGCCACCTGGGCAAACAGCTCTAAGTGGCCCTGCTAGCACAAGATGATCTCGAGAGGTTCCTGCTGACCAATTCCATGATGAAACAGTACAAAGGTGTGATCAAAGAAATACTATTTGAATGCATTTTTCATGTACACATATCATTGGTTCTGACAGGTAATTTTCTGTTCAGTAGCTGGTGTGGGGCTGTTTTGAATCTAAGTGTTGATACCACAGAGCTGTTTTCCTTACTGCTCAGCAGCACTTGCACAGAGTCCTGACTTTCCTGCTCATCACTCTGTGCCCCTAACGAGAAGGCTGGGGATGCAACAGTTAGGAGGGGACACAGCCAGGAGAGCTACCCCACACTGACCAAAGGACTATTCCATGCCACAGGGCATCATGCTCAGCATATAGAGCTCAAAGAAGGAACAGGGAACAGTTGGCATAATGGCATTTGTCTTCTCAAGTCCTTATTATGCATCATGGAGCCCTGTTTTCCTGGAGGTGGCTTAACACTTGTTTGCCATTTAACTTTGCTTGCATGTGTAGCTTTTGCTTTACCTATTAATCTTTCTTTCAATTATGAATTATTTTGTTTTCACTCTTCTGCTTCTCTCTGTGAGCCCACTGGCTGAGGAGTGAGGAACCAGGTTGGTGCTCAGTTGCTGAATGGGGTTAAACCTATCATTCCAGTGCAAGAATTCAGGAATGAAGTGTGTTTGGCTCTTTCTTAAGCTTAGATTTTAATGACTCAAAATATAAACTAGCCTTTTTTCAAAGCTGCACACAATCTCACTCTATAAAAAATGTCATCTTTTCAGGCTGAGTGATTCTTGGAATAAATTTGTAATTAGAAGTTTGATTAGAAGTTTCAGTTTCACAGATTTGCCTCTGTCACAATGTATTTTCTTGGTCCTCAAAATGGTAACGTTTTTTCTGCCTACAGTAGTACCAGCAGTTTAAAGCCTGAAGAGTAACTAAACTATCTTCAAACCTTTTGCTAACGTACTTTCATCCTGGGACATGAGAGGCATGCGACCATAACCTGCCAATTCAAAATTCATTCACAAAACCTAGAGACACTCCAAACAAACTAGAAAAAAAAAAAAATCACAGAAGAATTATAATCTCATTTTATTTAAACTTCAAGCATATTTAGGCTTCACCATCACTATACTGTCTCCCACAGTATATAGCTGTATTATCATACTAACCTCCAAAGCAACACAATCCTGAATCAAAGATAACCAGTGCTCTTAACTACTTTCAGAAAAGCCTTATGTTTAAGGTAAAAAGGATCTTCATAATGCAGCACGTCTGCTGCATAAGCTTCTTCTAGCTCAGTTTTATAACTCAGTGTTTTAGCAACTCTGATCGGAAAAACTGAACAAAGTTTTCCAATCTACTTTTCTGTAATTCTAATTCTTCCTTTATCATGAGACTCCAGGAGGTGCTGACGTCAATTGTTTTTTAAAAACATTAACTTTGTAATGAAATTTAGGAAACTACAATTAAAGTCAAACACTTTAGAACAGATTCTCCAGACCTTCAATTGCAGCAATATAAAGTGTCAGCTATGAAAGGATATTAACATTTTCAGACAGGTTTACTCCTGTGAACATCAAAAGGTTTCAGCAAATGCAGAAAAATACAGCTGGTTTCTGCAGTTAACTATAAACCAGGGGTATTCAACTTCACCTCAGATAAATGTGCTGATAGAAAGGAACTCCACAGGCCATGAACAGGAACTTTTTTGTTACAGACAAGCTATGCTCTAGGCTATAAAGACAACACGCAAGTATGTACTGTGTCTATATCTTGCATCTTCTCAAAATACAAGAAATGTGGGGAATTTCTTGTCCCAGGAAAATTAGCAGTGTTTCTCATAAGAGAAGAACAAGCTGCTAAAAGCATGTCAACAAGTCAATTAACTTCTGGCAACAAACTCTGGCATAACAGTTTATAAGCCAAAGAAAATTTTTCAAAAGAGAAAACTTACAGACAAGTCCAAACTTTATTTAAAACTACCATTTCAAACAGTTTTAAAATTACCAAACAAGTCACAATAAAAAATAAAAAATTAAGACAGAAAAAGAACTGTGCAGCAAAATTGAATAGAAGTGGATTCAGTTCCAGCTGTTTAAACTGCCATAGGCAGAAGATCACATACCTATCCTAAGAGGCAGTGTGTTAAAAATTTTACATTTTTTTACACTTCCAGAATTCTGGGAAATTAGTGCTGATCTTCCATATGCATTTGTAGACATAGCATTTATAAATGCAGACATCTTCGGGTAACTCTTATGCATTTTGAGCTCCAAAAATTTCTGTAAAATAAGAATAAAATCATTGTTTAATATCTACAAGGTATCAAACAGCTCATGACCACATTTCAATTGCTATTTCATCCTCACAAGCACTCTGAGCCATGGCTTACTTGAACAGCTACAGCCACCTCTCCTACATGGAGATAATGAATGGCTTAGAGCTAGCTACAACTTTGGTGTGGCATGGCACTCTTGGTCAGACTGTTCCCACAGCAGCCCTGGGCATCAGTATCCACCAAATGGGCACAACAGGCTTGTGCTGGAAGAGCTGGGACAAGCAGAATGCTGAACAGGCACAGACTGAGATGGAAGGAAAGATGCACCTTTCCTCACACTTTGTTCTGGAAAATATCTGTGCTGCCACTGCAAATGCATTAAATAAAAAGCAGGTTAATCAGCTTATACTATTTGAGGAATTGGAAGGAGGCACACTAGCAGAAAACTGCTACTATCAGAATACCCAGTTCATGCCCTTTATGTATGTCATTACCGTGCACTCCACTGGAGAACTGCAAGTCTAACAATAAAATTCTGTCACAATATTATAGAAAAAAACCCAGTTTACTTCAAAATGTTGAAGTAAAATATCAGTTATTTGTACCCTTACACACTAAAGTATAAGCAATTTATCCCGTGAGAGTATGTGACTTGATTTCTGACTGAAAAAAATTTTTAAAAAACCCCCCAAACCCATTTTTTCTGACCTGAGTTATCAGTAAGTTTTTGTATCTGCATAAAAATATTTGGTGAAAGTGAAAAATTTTATTGCCATCATACACACTGGAACTTTTTTCTACCACATGGTATACTTCACATGAAAAATAATTTATTTCTCCCTGAGGAGATGTTTTACTATTCTGAAAAGTCTCTTGAATGTTTTTATCAAAAAAGCACTGAGCAGCCTGTCAGGAAATGATACTGAGTGTTATTAAATCAGTTAAGAGAAATTATAACTTCCAGTATTATTAAACCCAAGCTTGTGAAATAAGAAATAAAAATACTGCTCCATTTGAATAAGTTTCAAAACCATTATGTTGTGACAGGCACTTGAAATATATTAATGACTTTATCAGCCACAGAATCTAAAACAGTATATAGAAGTGAGATGGACAGCAATCTCTTCATATCAATATAACACTTTCAAATGTATGATAACAAAACCCAGTATTTCCACTGCACTACAGTAACTGCTTACTTCAATCAGTAACATCTAAATTCTAGTATTTCAGAGTGTTTTCCCAATATGTGTGCAGAATATAGAAAAAAATTACCAGGTTCTTTCAATGTTTGGGCATCTCCTACTAATTCTTGATCTTGAGCTCCATCTCCATCCAGTAATTCATCAGACAAACTCTTGGTTTGGGCCTCTGTTTCCATTTTCTTCATTATATCTGCCTTTGTAACAGAAAAAGCAAATCTGAAAATTCTGGATAATTCTTACTGCTGTCTGGATAACACAGATATTTATGGTATGCACTTGTAAACAACAATCCCACAATTAATAGCAAAATACCTCTGAATACACAGCAAGTTTGAGGGGCAAGTCTTCAACTTTCACAAAGTCATCTTCATCAGATTTTTGACTTACATTTCCAGAACCAGGTTCCTGTTAATAAAAATTGTGTATTTAAGAAATACCATTTTGTTTTCTTTTCACTCCAAAACTATTAAAGTACATAAAAAAACCCCAATGCACACATCACATTTGCAGACAGAAACAAAACAAGACTGCAAACCAGAAATAATACTTAAATAGAAAAAAGCTTATAATTTCTCTTGGATGGATTTTAACTGAAATATACACACATATTCATTCACTAGCACAGGTGACTCTGTATCAGGGCTTCCAGCCATGGAGCTTTCAGAACTTGCAGCAGATTTGTTTTCTGCACATGTGGTATCTGGTGTTTGAGTTTCATTCACTGCCAAAGATGAGCTTGATCCTTCAGTTTTCACAGTGGCTGTTATAAAGGATTCTGGGGAATTCACTGTTAAATCTGGTGTATTCTCCATGACACTGAGGTAATCGTGCACAGCTGCAGCCACATCTTGTTCACCTAAAACCACAGAATTATAATTTAACTGGAGAAGGAAGAGATAGTAAAATATTCGGAACATACAAAAATTATGATCCAAAGTTACAAATGAACAGTGAAAGTGAACTATAGTCTCTTAGACAACACAAAACTGACTGAAGTAAAATATCCGTTATTTGTACCCTTACACACTTAAGTATAAGCAATTTAGCCCATGAGAGTATGTGCCTTGATTTCTGACTGAAAAAAAGTTTTTTAAAAACCCACAAAAAACAACTTGCAGAACTAAGTGACCTCCTATAAAATATTCATTCTAGTTATGAGGAGATATAACACAGAACAGTAAATACCTTAATATTTTGCCACTCTAATATTTATTTTTAATCTACAAAAAAAGGCCAAGAACAAAACTAGTGTTTGCAACAGAAGACCACAGGGAAGGTGGTAATAACAGTTCTAGAAATAACATTCATACAACCCAGTAATCCTCCCTTCTTTTGATGGAAAATAATTTCTTTGCTCTTCTTCAGTTACAACATTACTCACAGAAAAAAAAACAACTTTAAAATATGAATTTCAACAACTAGTAAAATGGTAGTAGCAGAAAAAAGAAGTACAAGAAAAATCTAAACATCAAAACACTAACACGTATTAATTCTGATACAGTGTGCCAAAAGCTGCAACAAGCAGCTAAAATTCTTGCTCATGCTTAGGTACATATGGTTTTGTCAAGCATCAAAACCATATCTACCTAAGTAAGATTATTCCATGTTTCCTCTTCAAAAGGTTTACTGTGTCAATATCAACACAGATACACCCAGGCAACTGATACAGTTCCATGAAAAAGACACTGCAGTAAATTTGATCATCTTTCTCTTAGTTACATGTATCACAGGCTCTGTCCAAGGCAATTGTCACCATATGCAAATTCATATGGAATTGTTAGTCTCTCAGATGCCACATACAGGGCTTACCTTTAACATTAACAGGCTCTTGTTCTGATGACAAAATCTCACTGCTTTTTGCCTTACTCAATTCTTGGTTTGAAGTCTATTGGGGAAGGTAAAAATGAGTTAGAACAAAATTTTACTGATCAGTTTCCTAGCTTATTGGCTAATTTACTAACTAGAAACACGCTGTACACTTGCTCCATTAATTTGTCTTTTCACTAGTTTGAAGTAAAGACTTGCTGCCTTTACTTCTACTGCTATTTGCCAGCTAGTCAGCAACAGTTTACAAAACCATTAACACTGACGGGCATCTTTTATCTGAACATTTTCTTTTCAATGCAGTAGTTCCCAGGTAAACTCTTTGGCTCCACTTAAAAGATCTACTGTTTTAACCTTTAAAGTAAAATGTTCCACTTACATCCTTGCCTAATGTTAATACCCGTTGAGCAAACCGAAGTTTCAATAGATTGTCAATCTTATTTAGAATGCAAGGAACAGACAATTCTCCAAAAAATTTTAATATGTGTGACCTGTTAAGTGACAGTGAAATGACAATCATACCCAGTAACATTTCACCATTGTTCCAGAAATAATTATCACAAAAGGGAGGGAAGACAAAAGACATGCTAGAATACAAGAGTGAATTACTCCCAATTAGAACTTCATCTCAGCAAACACAGAGAAAGAACTACTTAAAGGTTTAAAATTATGCTTTTTTGAAAATTTAACTTCTCACTTGCAGCTTAACAATTTTTCCTCTCTCATAGCAGATGTAAACATTAGTTTTGTCTCTACAAAACATTAGTTTTGTCTCTCATCCATTCACTTTGGCATCAGCTGTAATAAATTCAGGTGAGGAATGCCACATTTTGCATGTAGCACCTACTGGCATAATACAATTCACTGTATTATTATTTTACTTTCAATAGTACAAAAAAGTACAAGAAGAAAAAATAAGGTACATATAAATATGTACTGAAAAGCTGTGCAATCACACAGGTTTGTTCTGCTTTTACAGTTTTGACTATACCTGTTCATTTTCAGTTGTTTCACTGCTGGCTTGTAATGATGTTTGCACATCAACAGGTCCTTCCTCAAATTCTATTTCTTCATCTTCATTCTCATCTTCTCCGCTGCCATAGTTAGTCAGAGCTTGAGTTTCTGCTTTTGATAAACCTAAAGGCAAATCAATTTAAAATCACCTTTGAATTGCCAAATCCTGTTGGAGAATTTAATGCAATGATACCCCTTACTTCAAAACATTTTTTAAGATTAAGATACAGTAACGACTTAACTTTCAAAGATCTGTATGTTTTACACCAGCTATATTAAGAACGAACACCCATGTCAGTGTGCAATGTCAAAGTTATTAAACAAGTTGGTGCAAAGAATGTAAGGAATCCAAGCCAGAAGTAGTTGGTGTAATACAAAAAACAGGACAATAAGTAAATAAACAAATAAATGCACCTTTACTTAGTAAAAGCATATTTTAAAAGCCACATTATTTAAATTAGAAACTGCTTAAAATCTGCACAGCTTTCAAACCATTCAGGTTAAAGGCTGAGAAACTCGGAGTTAAGCTGAGACAGGATATATAACCTAATGAATCAATTTCTAATATATTTTTACAGATCTACTGATTATGAAAAAAATTACTTCCTCTAATTGGAATATTTAACCCTTGACATAACACTAGGAAATATAGTACTGTAAAACTTTCACTGACAAAGGATGGACTATAATATCTGCAACAGAAGGTGTTACACAGCACTACTTCATACAAATCCTGTTGTAAGATTAGCTGGTCAAAACCCCAGTGGAAGCACCAAAATATATAAAAGCTCCTTACTTATTGCCACTGGACCACTTTCACTTTCCTCATCTTCCTCTTGATCAGATGCATCAGATCTAATACTTTCAGGCACTCCGTTACCAGCACACACTTCTGAGTCCGGTACTTGTTTAGCAGTTTCAGTCTCATCCTTGTCCTAGGAAAACATGGAATAGTGTGCAATTTCATGTTTATCTAAAGACTACACTAAGGTTTCTACCTAAAGGAGTTATTTCACAGAAGCTAATAAGTATCTACTAAATATCTGTCTAAGTAGTCCTTACAGCCTTGAAATTAATACAGCAAAACAATACTCCTAAAACAGAGCATGAGAGCTTGCTGTAAGGGATCGTGCACTATTCAGACACAGCTTTCACAGACCTCATAACAACTGAGTATGTCATCTGAAAAGGTTGACATTGATCAGCATGCTAGGTTAAAAAAAATCCTTTACATTAGATTTGTCATTTTCAAGAAGACAGACACATCTGCATTATTACGTTCCAGCAACTTCCCTAAATGCTCCTCCTAAACGAGGAGTAAAAATACTTCTACCTGCAGCTTCTCATTTCTTTAGCAGTCATTTCCTCAGTAGTTTCCCCGATTAATAATATGCTAAATATGCTGAATAAGAAAATTCTGCATTTCTATATGAACCTCAAAGTAAAGCCCTGAGTTTGGCTCCAAATCTTGAAAGGATTTTTCTACACTACAGCAACTGTAACAAGAGATGTACAACTTCCTACTTGTACTTCTAAAGCAGTAAAAGCTTTGGAGCAGACAGAAGCTCTAAGCCCTAGAAGAAAACACTGGCTCCACTCCCACACATGCTCACTCCTATTCCTATACCCATTTAGGATAGCAATCAACATTTTGCTTGGCATATATACTTCTATCATTCCCTTGGCTGGAGAAAGCTGAACATTCCGACAGACCACTTAAAACTTCATAAACACATTTCCCCACTGATATCAGTGGTTTTCAAAAGAAACTTGAAAAGAAAAGGGACAAATTCTAAGCACTAACATTTCATACTCAGAGCAGAGGCAGGCTTGGACACTGAGACCTCAAATACCACGTGTCCCGATTCAGAACATCTACCTTCTCCCGAAGATGGAAAGTAAATCAACTTATTCCATACCATTAAAAAAAAAAATGTTAACTGCTATAAATAGTTAAGCTGTCCTTAGAAACTCAAATATAATCTACTTTGTAGCTTTGATAAAATAAATGTCTGAAAACAACAGAAAGGAGTTTAATACATTTCTAAAGACTGGAAAATGGGGTGCTTACTGATACTTGATTCCTATAACAGGCAACAGTAAGACTAACTGACCTATGAAATTATCTCAGGAATAAAGATAGTTGAAAGGCATACACATACTTTGTCCTCATCGACATCTTCAACAGAAGAACAAACATCCACCTGGAGACCTTTTTTTGCCTAGAAGAAACACAAACTGTCTTCAGTTCTAAACTGAAATAACTTGGAAATACTGAATCAAACTGTGGCTTCATGAGAGCCAGGCTGAAATTCTAATCTTACTAAGAATTGCTATCTTAAAGCAGCAGGCAGCCACAGGGACTTCTGTACACACAGATGTCATCAAAATTTCAGAGTTGCAAAGCATTAAAATAATCTGTGCTAACCCTTCTTATTTAAACAATTACACTTATATTGGGCTAATCCTACAGTTCGTGGCTGAATTGTACCTAGCACATAGAATCAGATACATCATGGCAGGGGGGTTGAAACTATATGTTCTTTAAGGTCCTTTCCAACTCAAACTATTCATGATTCCAGCAATGATCAAGACAAAGAGCTGTGTGTTCAGCAGTTACTTTACTGGACTCAAGAGACCCAGAAAATCAAGCAAGATCAAATATGTCTCCATCAGGATTGCAGAGTTGAAGGCTGTGAGAAAACCATACAGAGATAATTGTGCAGGTCTGTACAAAACAACCAGGGCCTACCACTTCTGGCTCATCTCTGGCTTTTTTGAATCTGAACCTCTGCCACAACAACTAGGTAAACATTGACCTTAACCCTAATTTTGTCTTCCAAGAGAGAAGAAATGCTGAATCTAAGATGGCTCCATGCTTTCTCATAGCAGGTATAAACCAACTCTATGTAACAAAGTTACAACTTTGATAAAACAGGAACTTCAGATAAAAGAGGCAACTTCAGATAAAACAGGAAGTCAAGTCTGAATTTTTCTGGATTTAGAGTGTTCCTCTGGCCTCTTTACAAGGCACTCCACAGTCTCTCTCATACCAGCCATGCTATTGATATATCAAAATTGATTATCTTGAAGTATAGCTAGTGGTACACCTAAAAATACTTGTAGGAGTTTATAACAGGTTCAAAAAATATCTTCTGCTGACATTTAAAAATGAAGTAAGGGTTTGCTTTGGTATTTGTGTTTCTGTAAGAAAGCCGAAAGGACACTGAAATCATAAATCATGAATATGACCTGGTTTATTGTTTCTTTTGTAAACAGATCATATAACTTTAAAAAATGCAGCTATGCTCCCAATAAAAGCAACAGGTAAGAGTGCACAGCACTTGGCCAGGGAAGATGATCCTCATTAAGCCAAGGGAAGTTCTACACCACACAGCGTCATGCTCAGCATATAATGTTGGACAAAGAGTGAGGGAGGGGCAGAGATCCAAAGTGATGGCATTCGACTTCCCAAATCACATTATCTATCACATTACATGTGATAGAGCCCTGCCCTCCGAGAGGTGGCTGAACACCTGCCTACCTATGGGAAGTGGTGAATGAATTCCTTGTTTTGCTCTGCTTGCGTGTGTGGCTTTTGCTTTACCAATTCAAGTGACTTTATCTCAACCCACGAGCATTCTCCGTTTAACCCATTTGATTGTCTCCCCATCCCACAGAGGGGAGTGAGTGGCTGTGAGAGACTCAGCTGCCACCTGGGGTGAAACTACCCAAAGGCCTCAGGTGTTAAAAACTATTTCAACAGTTAATTCCTTCCTATGTTCACATAAAACCATTAGAACATTTCTTCTAAATTATGAACGAAGTCTATACAATTAGTTATCTGTAAGAGATGCTCATCATAAGGTAATCGAACTAGTTTAGAAAATACACATATTTAGCAATCTCAGAAATGCTGCATTTTCCAAAAATAAAATAAAACAAACCTCTTTAGCATAAGACTGCATTACTTCAGTGGTTTCTATTTTTCGTTTACATCTCTGCTTTACAGAAATACTGTTGTTGTCCAAGTCTTGCATGAGTTTAAAAAAGGCTAATTCATTGAATAACACTTCAGAGATCTCCACAAGAAGATCCTCCCCACAATCTTTTAATTTTCTACCAGCAAATTTCGCCAGTGAATCCTGTGAAGAGAAATAATTCTTCAGTTTCTGACATAGGCTTTCAAGCTTTAAAGACTAAGTATTTTTCATATTTCTAATAACTTGAAATTAGTTATGTATATATTAGCTCGTATTTTTTTAAAAGAAGTTTTATTTTACATGGTCTCTCTAGTCCCATAACACAGAACTTAATAAGCTCATAGTTTAAACTCCATGCTTGTAGAAAAAAAAAAAAATGAAAAAATGCAAACTACAGATTTTCAGGAATTTACACATGATGTCCATGAAAAGCCTCACCAGAGCTCTCCTTGAACACAGCCACAGGCCAAAGATACACCTCTCACTACCTGGCTGTGACAGCAAAGATGTTCTGTGTGCAGTAAATGATTAGTTTAGGAACAAAGGTAATACCTCATCACTGTATCAAAGGTGAGGGAGAACAGCAGCTATCCTATTCAAGGTGTAAAATACAACTTCAGAGAAGTTGGCTCATTAGCCAACTTGAGTGCTGCAGAACAGAAATGAAAAAAAACTACCAACCTGAAGTATACTGCCAAGCTGCTTATGAAAGAACTTCACAAATTCTTTACTTTCATCATTTTGCTGCGTAAGAGTCAAGACCATACGTCTTACTGATATCAGTAATTGAGAAGAGCACACTTCATCCATGTGTTCCTACACAAATATCACAGAATGAGTTTTGTTACCACTTGAAAAAAAAAAAAAAATACTAGCCATCAACCCAAATAGAGAAAATAATTTATTAAAAAAAAACCCTGTCCACTGAAGGAACAGCACACCACAAAAAAGTCCTAATCAATCCCACAAACACCATACTTCATGAATGACTGCTTAGTCACAACACACAAAGATTTATCTCAGTTTTCCAGTAGAGGAGTACTTGGCATCTTATAATGTTTGGCCAAACTCAGAAGCTTCATATATTGTGGCTGTGTACACAAGTGTATTAAAGTGTATATTAAGATATCTACTGTTACATGCAGCCTTAAAATTACAAATAAAAACCAAGTCTTCAGGCATTCTGACTCTGGCATGTCAACAATATACAGTTTTTTAACTTAGTATCACCAAATACCTTATTAGACAAACCTAAGCTTATACACTGTGCATACTATAAAAGGGAACAGGGAGATGCCTTAAGCAATTAAATCTCAGCTCCTTGCAGAGAACCTTGCAAAGGAGAACTGTGACTATTTCTCCTTTAAAGAATATTTCTTATTTGTAGTCACAGAAGTTAAAAAGCTCTCAACAACTTTAAAGACATTTGTAAACAGGAGAAAATAATGCTAAAAATCAACTACTCAGAGGTATTTATCAAAAATACCCTATTACTGTACATGTAACAGTTTTAATTAGTGATTTCAGTTCTGTCTGCTAAAAGACACTAAAATATTTCAGAAGTACATTCTCAAACATTCCTATATTTAGTTTTGTCAGCTCCAAACAAGCAACCTCTATTCTTTTTGATGTCAAGTCCACCTGCCCTATGAAATCTAGAAACCTCACCATTTATTTCTCCTATTAAAAATTACACAGAATCTTTCTGTGGAACATCTAATTCTTTCTTCAGCAGAGTCTGCAACTGAACACATATTTATTGGCAGCTGTTTCTAAGGGGCAAGTTTTAGATTTTAAATAATTTTCTTCTGTGCAATTATACAAGTGCTTTTCTTACTCTAATTTACACCATATTATAAAGACCCCTTACCTTGAGAAAAGGAATGACCTCTTTCATAATTGCTTTAATCTGTCGGTCAAGCTGCTGAGTATCTATACGAGGACACGGAACTGAAGAAACATCACCTGACTGTGGCACAGACTGACATTCACCAGTACCTGGACCTTGTTTTAATTAAAAAAAAAAAAACCAAAACAAAATAAATAAAAAAAAAACAACAAAAAACAAAAACCACTGCTTTTATTACATTAAACATTACTATTAAAGATAGACCACTTTCAAAAACGTATTTTAAAAAACAAATCTTATTTCCTTAGGTATGTAAATATCCTTTCAAACTCTGCTAAGTTTTTAATATAAATGAAGATCAAAGTAATTCAGCATGATAGTAACTATAATTATTTTCTAAAACTAAGCAAAATATACATATATGTGCATACCTTCTAATTTAGCAGTAGAAGCACCCTGAAAATTACTAGAGCAGCCCTCAGAGTCAAGGGTACTTTCAGCTTCAACTTTCATACGCTCATATTCCCTCATCCAAGACAAAGCTTTATCTAAGTGAATCACTGTGTTGCCTATATTTAGAATAAAAACACTTTTTAATCTAAATAAAAATTTTTCAATTGATAGACAAATAAACAATGACTAAAATGACTTTAAGGCTTCATGTATTGAAATCTACATATAACTAGTTGCAATATTTTATTATACACTTAATTATAAACTCAGTGTTCCACATTAGCTGATTTAATTATGTTCTCTCTTACAAAACAGGTAATTACACACTACAAATCAAGTAACAATGTACTAAAGTGCAGACAATTACAGGCATTTACAGAGAGAGGGAGAGAGGAACACTTGAAAACACTAAGTCACATCATTCTCACCCAGGTCATCAGTGGCAAACGGTTCAAAATTTGAAGAAGTAGACATAGTACTGCCATTGTCTGCATCAGGTTGTTCACAATTTTGACATGCTTCTGTAGAAAAGTTCTTGCCAAAAGTTTCCTTAAAAATACCAGACAAGTGAATACAAAGAAGAAGCACACTATACTCTCACAGATGTATGAACAGGCCCACAATTCTTTTCAGTGACTTGTGGTATCAGGGTTTGTCATCAGACTGCCTGACTGGGGAACAACCCTACTTTCAGGTTATAAATCCATCAGGTTAATCTACCATGCTTACTTCAAACACTCCAAGTACAAAACACATAATAAACTGTACAGAGGTATGATTTCTTAAATACAAGAAAGAAAACATTTTTGGAGAATCATGTGATCAGTACTTGCCCTGACCTTACTCAGAAGAGATTTTGGCTCTTTCTGAATGTATCAGTTTCCGATTCACATCCCTCTACATGTTTCATTCACCCCTAACACACTCATTTGCAGTACTGAGAATCCTATAGTATTTTATCACTTTTGCATTGATTCTCTTGCCGCTAGTTGTTTAAAAAAGTCTGTGTAAGTTGACACTAATTTTAAACAAATTCAATCCCTAGTATATTTCAGTAGACAAGCATACATGTGTGCAAACTGAAATACAGGAAAAGCTGCCGGTACCTTCTGAATTTGAAAACTTACATCATCTGTAGAGGCAAGACTTTCACTAGGAGTGAGTTCAGAATTTGATGCCACCCATGTTGCAGAATTCAGTGATTTTGCACACTTTCCTTTTTCATTTTTCTCACATAAATGTCTGGTCACTATATCCTGGAAAAGATAATCTATGCTGTAATAAAAGATCTAAGGTTTGTTTGATTCACAAACAAAATCAAAAATTCTGTGCATACCTGTAAAGCATATAGAGCCCTTTGCCTCAGATAATCTGTATTTAGCAGCTGAAGCTCGTGGAAAAGTTCAATAAGAAAGTGGGGACGAGACTCATTTTGAGAAATAAGAGTTGCCACTTCAGAATAAATTGTGTCTCGCAAAGCCTCAAACATAGAAAGATCACTACCAGTTTCTGTGGGAAAAAATAAAGAAACTTGTTAAGTCCTTAATGGGCATCCATTTAACAGGCTATCAGGCATGCAAGTTATGTGTATACAAATTATGTCTCAATCATTGCAGGTTCCCTAATATAGCTGCTTTCATAAAGCTTATTAATTTCCTGAAGGGCAAACATTTTTAAATTATACCTTATGCAATCTCCAATATATAAAGTACAATATAGAGCAATTGTAAAATAATTTTCTTTATACTTCTGAACAATACCTTTTGAAAGTATTGTTTCTAAAAGAATATTGCACACGCACAACGATGCTTTCAGAAGAGGTATTAAACACTGAAAATGGAGTTTTAAGACATTTCAAGAAAGACAGTGAAAAGTCGCAGGTTTATATAATACAAACAGTCTGTACTTCTGCAACACAAGCAGCATTAAGAAATCTTTAGACTGAACTCAAGAAAGCAATTCTTTCCCAACAGAAATGCTACATTCTTATACATGTCTAGTATCACTCCCAAGTTCACAAAACACCTCCTACCCTTAAACCCTATTACATATAAGACAATGTGTTGCCTAATAAATCTCCCATTCATTTGAAAAGAAAGGATTATTCTTGCATCACAACAATCAAATTATTACATACATTATTTGGGAAGTGCTGAATGGAAACACAGTTAAATTTGGAAAACTCAGTTTAACAGATGTGCAACTGTTAGTATTCAAGTTGAAAAAGTTATTAGCAATACAGCAAACATTACTGTACAATTTGATTATCTGCAAGTAGTTTACCAAGTTTTTAAGCACAGGCAGGCTTTTTCAACCTTTGAAAAGTTATCACAAATTGTTTCCCTCCCCTATTACTAATACATAATAGCAGCTTTTAAACACACTAAAAATGCCTACTCAAATGAATTTTTTAATGTAGTATCTACGTCCATATTTTCTATTTCTAATTGTTACTAATCAAGAACATGGTAACCATGTTCTCCACAACTGTAATTCAAAGCAGTTTGTAATGCTGCACTTTCATGCAAGGTTACTTCTCTTGTCTTGGTTATAGAGAAGGTGCTGCAATAGCACTAAGCTTGACATCTGCTAAACAGTGAGTTATAGGACCAAAGATAAAAAAAGAAAAAAAAAAGTAATAGCATATTGTTGAAGCTAAGCAGTGAATGCATTACCTGGCACTTCAATGCATGCATTTCTGTTAGACTGCTGCAGAATTCTCCTAGCATGCGCTGTAGGAAAGTGGGGATAGACAGTGATAAACACAAAAATGCGCACCAGAAATAAAGACAGGGTCTATACAAAACAGCAGGAGGAAGACTGCTTAGTTATCCAAACCATATCAGAGCTGCTTATTGTGAGAATGAGAACTTGACCAGGGAAATTTATTATGTACACTAATAAACAGCTCTTAGTGTGGACACAGCTACACTGGCAAAGCTTTTTATTGTGCTACAACAACTAAAATTTCCGCATCTCAAACAAAACAGAAATATTGGCAGAACCAAAATAGGCACAGGAGAGAGAATTTTTATGAACTAGATACAAGAAAAGCAGTGCAGATGGCAAAACTGTAAGGGTTTATGTGATGTTAAAAGACTGAATCTGAATATTTGATGGAGCTCATTTAAGCACGAATAGGAAGAAGACATGTATGCAGTACAGGATGTAGTTTAAACAGTAAGCAAAGTTTCATCAGTTTTACAATTACTTTCCATAAAATCACCAACAAATGGGTGAGATTGGCTACATTTTTGCTTGTTGTACAGTAACAGATTTCTAAATTGCTTTAATCAAGTATTTAATATACAGAAAACACCCAAAATAAATTAATATCCAACTTTTTACACATTTACAGCATTCTTAGAAATTAAAATGCAAAATCCACATGCTAAATATTCAGTCCTGTCTTCCTGTCAAAACACATTGCATTTAAATAACACACTAGGAACTAAGGTCCCTTACTCATAAAAGTTGACAAAATAATTAGCCACTTAGAAAAAAAGTACCTGAAGACATTTCTGTAGATCTACTGTATTTTATTATTTTTTCCAATTGTTCCTGATTCCTTTTGCTGAACACCTTTGCATGAACGACATCATCAGAGTGTCTGCTTTTAGTGTTCTTGCAGGGTTCACACACACTAGAAGCACTTGCACTTTCATAACCTAATGGGAGGAAATGAAACAAAAGAAATAAAGAAACAGCTTACAAACTGTTTTATTACTTTAGAAAATTTGTTCAAGGGCACTCTTAAAGATGCAAAATACTAATGATGTTTCCTATACTACAATCTTCCTCTGTACAGTGAAGCCATACAGTAATACTAAATCCTCAGCAACCCCAACAGTACTACTATACTAACTAGTACTGTCCCTCTCTTCAGAATTTTAATGAAGCATATCTTTCAGCAAATAATCCAGTTTGAATATGAAGACAATGAAGATTCTCCTTGTTATTTTAAATCTGCAATATCTGCATCCATGATACTCTCAATTGGTTATGTATTTTCTATTTACTGAAATCCTAAAAAACCGTAGGCAGTTGTATTATATAAAATTAAGTCATTTCAATAACTTATTTTCATTATTATAGGTACCATTTATTGAGAGTAAATTCTCTGGAATGTAATGATTATAATCCAAGATTATCCAAGTATCCAAGATTACTTTACAACCTACCAGTATTTTTAATTCTGCCTTTTAGCTGAGAAGAATTCTTCCTCTTATTCTTGGATTTGGGCGTTTTATCTTTTGATGCCAGGCTTGCTTGTGCTGATGCTTTTCTAGATCTAAATGTCTTTGTCACAGTAGTTGGGTCTATTGGATCAGGCATGCTACTGAAACTCTCCAAAGACTCTTCATCAAACTCTCTTTTCCGGTTCATATCACACTGACTTTTATGACCAGAAGCAATGTTTTGTACTGAAACTGCAAAACCTGCATTCAGCTGAGACTGATCATCTTTCTTCATTTCTTGGCTATCATCAAGCCAAGTTGATCTTTTCTCCATTTCCTCTTCAGGCTGTCTATGATTCCTCCTGTCAGAAAAAAAAAGACCCACAGACCAATCTCAATATACCAATAACCCAATCTCTCAGGTAGAAACATCACATATTACCAGGCAAGCAGTTTATCCATAATGCAAATTATCTTGTTACTCAGACATCAAATGAACATTGAAAAATAGACAATTCCAGAGAACCCTTCCAAATGGAAAACTGAACTTCCCATCTATTGCTGGTTTCAACATGAATATATTTACACAGTTACTGCTGCGCTCAAATAGTACCACAGGTCAAAACATTTCTTAAAGCAACATTCAGTACAATCTACAGGAGCACAAAAAAATAAGCATTCACTGAAATTACATCCTCTAGTTATTCAAACAACTCAGTTTCAAAACAATCCCATAGAAACAAAATCTTACTCCATTTAAAGAAAGTGTTAGAAAACCACTCCAAAATTGCCTTTGATTTTAAAACTTCCATGAAATGATACATTAATACATAGAAAAGCAGAACACTGCTGAAAAAAAATTAAACTAGAAGTTACAAAAGTAAAGCTCATATAGTAATTGTATGACAATAAAATCCTTTAATGAATGATGAATTCTCACAAGCCCCAGAAAAGGGAAATTATTAAAGGAGAGCTGCACTTTGACATTCAATACCTTTGTTTTTCTCCTCCATTAGAGGAACTGCTTTCAAAGGGTTTGGGGAATGCCATGTACTCAGTTTTCCCGGAAGTATTAGGATCTAGAGGATGTTGTTGCCCCTGCTGCTCACTGCTGCGTGGAGAAACATTATGTGCAAAATCTCCAAAACCACATGGGAACACTGGATTACAGTTAATACCTACAAAGTAAGCAAGAGTCAGAAGATACTACCTTCATTTATTTGTGTAGCAAAATTCAAATTTGAGACAAACCGTGACAGCATGAAATTATGAAGCAAAAATACAGTGGAGAAGTAAGCAAGAACAGTTTTCATCCTGAAAGCACTGTAAACAATCAGAATTTATCCTTAGTGCAGGTTTTGAACACTACTTGATACTACAGTCCCATCAGTGGAGATCAAGACCCTTCAAAAAACAAACTCCACTAAAGAGCTCCTAAAAGTGAAAATTAAAATAACAACAATTCCAAAAAAATGGCAGAATTCTGTCTACCTGAAGACCTTCTCAATACTTCAACCACCATCAAATTAACAAGAAAATTCCAATGGTTCAGGTATTATAGAGCCAAAGAAGTCATAGATTAATACTACTTCAATTTTAACATCAGAATCTTTATGGAAGTGGCAAACTGAATATAACTGTTCTTTTGGGCAGGTTCCATGTAATTTAAAAAATTAACTCAAACAGAAAATAGACTTTACAATTTGAAAGTTCTAATCTAGATCTATGCCTATTTCCTGCTTTCCTAACAACACTGAAATATATTAAGACAGCTTTGTTTACTTCGAATTATACAGTAAAATACCTACGTTCTTTTCCTCCAAATCCAACAGCAAAGTAGATTAGAGAAAGAGATAGGGAATACTGTATCCAAGTCAACAGTTACTGTATAACTCTGATGAGAACAAAAATTGGTTAACACGCTCCATTCACAGGCATTTATAACAAACATGAGTGTTTGAAGTTCTAAGAAAAACAGAAATAATTACCAAGTGCCATCTTCCAATTACATGGTTCACTTAGAACATGATTTCAATTATGAATTGCTGAATGTATGTAAAAGCTTCAAGCACTGCTTTTAGTATGTTGGATGAAGAACATTTGAAACCTTACATGGAGTGAGTACTTTCAAGTATAACTAACTTCATACTGAGAGAGTCTTGCTTTCATACGGAAGTAAAAATATAAAATTATTCAGCAATAAATAGTAAACTTCTGCTTAAGACCATTTCAATATACAGGAAAAGTGACTGAGTTTCATTAAGTTCACATTACAATTTCAATTAAATGAGAAAATGTAAATTTTTGAAATTCATGTTACATCTCACACCTGTAGTAATACTCACCTGGAGCAAAGGAAGAAAAATTAGTAAATCCTGGAATACTAAAGAGGTTCACAGGTTGTGGAGGGTAGTTGAATGGACAGAAAACAGGAGATGGAGGTGGAGGTGCACTACTACCTCTCTCCTTTCTTGATGGTTTCTCTTGACACTGTTCTTGCTGCTGCATAAGATCACTTAACATTTGTTTCAACCTTGAAAATAAAACCACAACTTCAATAAAAAAAAGAATATTATGGGAAAACTGTAAATTTATACTGAAGTAATTTGAGCTTCATATTATTTCACCTATGTAACATATGTAAAGAAGTGATCTATTTAGCTTATTAAAAAACCTCAAGACAAAAATTACTCATATTTAATCCTGAGTTTGTTTAAAATCAACTGCTTTGTACTACTGGTTATGCATACACCACTTAAACATTCTTGCAAGAACAAAAAAACCTGACTACATACTAAAAAAACAAGCAAGCTGAAAGTGTCACTAGAAACAATCAAAGAGACAAAGTATTTCCAGAACTGAGGTTAAAATTAATTTTAAAAACTGTGTAAGAGGACAGCACCTATGTATCACTTACCAGACACAAAACAGAGATGAAGAGCTTCAATTTTCATGCAATGAATTAAAATGACCATTACATCTTTTTTCAAAAAAAGATAATTTGGATCATGGAATCTTACATTCCATCATCCACATGGAAAGTAAGAAGCACAAATCATAGCTGAAAACACTAAGGAAGGACAAAAAGCCTTTTTGCTTTATGTTACCATTAGAATCCAGAATCTTGCCAGGTAGTCTAGTGAAGACTACAGACACAAAAGCATATTAGAAAATAACTACTGCAACAGATTTTTGCCAACTTTTGGCTCTCTTCAATGAAGATTACTAGAAAAGTACTTTTAAAGGTGTTAAAGAGGTGGTGGGGGAAAAAAAGGACTACAAGAAATGTTGCACATAATTTCAAAAGCTCGTAATCAATTTAGAAGTTCAAGAGTCTCACATTTAACCATTATCTGTAATCTTTTACTCACATAACCACGTTCCTGTTACTGAAGCATTTCAAATTCCACAGTTAAACACTAATACAGTGAACAAACCTTTGGACATTATTCTGCTGCCAATTCAGTTGAGTGTAACACTGGTTTAATTGATGCATAATAAGATTTATTTGTGAAGATGCAAGATTATTTGGCATCATGTTGTAGGGACCTGTGAGCAAGGTCTGTAGAAGGCAAGAGAGAGTCTGTGGAAAGAACATATGTAACAGTGACCAAATCACAAAAAACAGAATCTACTGCTAGAAAGAGTAAGAAAGAGAATAAAAGAATAAGAACAGCAAAATAACCGTTCTTCATATCTACCTGCTGATCCTGCATCAAAGTTTGACAAATGCTGACACTAAACTCATGCTGTTTCTTCAACTGATTGATCTGCTCTTGCCATCGTTCCTTTTCTTCCACATAGGGAAACTCAGACATCCACCGAAAATTCTCCTGACGCCGCATACTTATGTTTTGCTGTTGCCTGGTCTTAGACACTGGACGATAATTTCCATCTGCTGAAAGGGGACGGCAATTTTTCCACCTGAGTTGGGAAAATTTCAGGAATAAGGACAAAATCAGATAATTCAAACAACTAATGATACTTCCATTATTCAAATTATGTTTAAGTTGTACATCAAAAAGCCACATGGCACAGGCCAGCTAATCATACATGCCATTTTGTCAATCTAAAATAATCCTAAACAAACGGAAAATAGGAGCCCCCCACCTGGCTATGACTGTCAAAAAAAGAATAGCTAAGGATGTGTCTGGGTCTTGTTTTTAATATTTTCTATTACTGCTAACATATACTCAATGAAAATAGAAGCCACCAACATAATACATTGACAGGTCCAGCCCCTGATTAGCCCACTGTCTACTATAATAATTTTGGTATCCAAGCCAGAAGAAATAACTGCAGATACATACATTATTTTTAACATGGCATTTTCATCTAATCACACAAATGTTGTGAAGGAAGTCAATCAGGTAAAGAGTTAAAGTTATTCACAATAGTTACGAAATAAGTTTTCACAACTACAGAAACCAGCAATTTAGAAGGAAAAAAAATTCAGGTAGTTTAATGCTCTGAACTACTATTTTTGACGAGACTGATCACAGCAAAAAATTTCACATAGACTGATTATCTTTTAAACTGGTTAAAAATAAATAGGAACATCAGGAGCCACTGCCATACACCTGGAGAGCTCAAAGACTGAAAACAAAAGAAATCACCAATGTTATATGCATTGCAGCTACAAAGACTTAGACAAGAAACTGCCACTACACACAGCCCCCTAACAAGCGACATTTTCCTTTGCTGTGAGGATGCCTTGTAGTTAATGCAATGCTTCTTCCACCCTCTTCCAAATACACTCAGACAAGCATCAAATCAACAAATAATGCTACTAACCTATCTTTGTTTCCTTTAACAAAATATCCATTTTCCGGTATGTTGTTATTGGGATAAACAGAGAAACTGTCATTCAAACTTGATGCATCTTCTTCCTCTTCTTCTGCCTGACCAACTCCATCAGAGAGATAACCATCTTCATCTCCGTTTTCTTCCTCTAGGGCACACTGGGTAGAACCTCCCCACGTAGCCATTGTCCTAGTGAACATTGCAGGGTCAGAGAAAAAAGTGGTGTTTGGAAAAAGAGTATTTGTTTTTCAATTTCATGACAAATTATTAAAACAATCTGTTGACAATTGCAAATCTATATGCAATTCATCAAGCTGCACAAAAAGAATTAAACCATTCTGAATAGCAGCAGTAGTGTGCCCATATGGCCAAGAAGGCTATTAGCAACCTTGCCTATATGAGGAATAGCGTGGCCAGCAAGATCAGGGAAGTCATTCTTCCCCCATACTTAACACAGGTTAATATGCACCTTGAGTGCTGTGTCCAGCTCTGGGCCTCTCAATTTAGGAAGGACATGGAGATGCTGGAGCCTATCCAGAGAAGGGCAACAAGGCTGGTGAAGAGTCTGGATCACAAGTCCTATGAGAAGCAACTGAGTGAGGGGGGGTTATTTAGCCTGGAGGAGTTTTAGGGGAGACCACTCTACAACTGCCTGATAGGAGGGTGTAGCCAGGTGAGGGGTCAGCCTCATCTCTAAGGCAACCAGTGACAGGACATGAGGAGAATCTTAAGCTGAGTCAGGGAAGGAAACTGGACATTAGTGATTGACTGGGCATTGGAATGGACTGTATAGGGAGGTGGTTGAGTCATTGTCTCTGGAGGCATTTAAGGAAAGACCAGATGTGGCACTCAGTGCCATGGTCTCATTGGCAAGGTGGTGTCAGGTCATAGGTTGGACTCAATCTTCAAGGTTTTTCCCAACCCAGTTGATTCTATGATTCTCACCAATGCCAACTTGCATTCTGCTTCTAATACAGGGACAGAAAAATGAAATTACTGCCTGTATTGGATGTGTATTACTTTACTATGCTATAAAATAGCTAAAGATGAAAAAAAAATACTCCAATTATTTGGCATTTTCCATGCATTTTCTTCTCCTTCGGTGATTCTTTTCCCCACTGGTAGAACAGAAGAGACTAAATATGTTGGGAAAACCCATAAATCTGGCAAGTTGCTGAGTAACAGTCACTTCACAAGTCAAGAAATTAATTTCCTGCTCTGTTAAATCATCATATTCAGTGGTCAGATGAACACAGGAAACTGCCCCCAACACTGACATCCTACTAAACAATGGAAGCACCCATTGATGAATACAGAATAACTTGTCCTCTTACTTTTCAGTCCTGCTCTGCTGTGGAGTACACTGAGCTTCTGACCCCTCACTTTTAACAGATGCAGCAACCGTAGATATTGTTTCTGCAAGCTCTCTCCTTCTCTGATCTTCAGCCATTAAAGCTTCAAGTTGCTTTCTTCTCTGTCGCAGTTCTTCTCTTAAAATCTCATGTCTTCTCATCTCAGACCATAACTGCTTGCAGTAAAATGGAAGAATTAGAATATAATGCTACCATAATTTCACGAAAGAGTAGGTAATATCCCAATCAATATTTAAGACAATTTCAGGGGAAAAGATGAAGAAAGATGCAAAGATAAATCAGGCTTCAACAAAAACTTTCATCGTTTTCTCAAAGGATGACCTGCCTACAGTATACGACACTCAATGTTCACGGTAAAACTTCTACATTAATTCAACTTTCACATTAATATTTAGTAACAATTGCTGTATCTGGGGTCAGTATTTCCTTCTTTCACAAAACAAAATAAAGACGTTATACATGCTTTTGTTAAAATAGCTACTACTCCATTCCCCAGGCCAGTTACTTAAAATGTGTCCAAGCAACCTGTAACGTCTTTCTAAACCCTTTTAAAGTCACTGCATATCAAGTATGAAATACCTCGCTGCCTACTGGTACAGATTCATCACACACAAATAAAGGCTTGCCAGCTGTGTTACGCTCATTCATGGCTGGAGTTGATGTTGCTTGTGAAGTCTGTCTATTTGCTGGGCAGTTACCCAGGCCAGCTGACAACTGAAAGAGAAAGCAAAATGGCAAAATACAATATAACATCTTTCTAAAACATACCTGCAGTTACAACCCAGCACAGTTAAGGCTTTATGAGGCTAGAAAGTCAGTATCCTGGGAACAGGATTTTTGAATCAAGGCCAAATATTTATTTCAAAACTTATCTAGGAATCAACAAAACTTAATTTATGTATTGTTATATAATGCTCTAGATGCACAGTATTTTACTGCTCACTTCACAGAAAGAAGTTAATCTTCAAAGATTGTGAAAACAGGAAAGCCCTGTAGAGTTAAGTCAAAATGCAACGAAGCGTTGATCACGCTTACAAGACACAGCATCGTTCCAAAATACCAGCAAATGACTACTAAGAGAAGTAAAGAAGCAGTGACTGGCCAGTACGGACAGACAAATTTCAGGCTAAAAGTAAGACAGAAGGTTCTGTATCTTTGAAGACTCTGTCAAGACTTTTGAAGACAAACCACAGTGAAATTAACCACCAAACAAGAACCATTGAAATGTGAATGACATAAGCAAAACTCAAGGTTTAAAAATCCACCTGCTTGCACTATACAAGTATTACCAATTTTAATTTTTTTCCAATTTTCACAGGGAAAAAATGGTGAGCAAGATATTTTATGTGTCTTTGCTCAACACCTTAAGACAGCAAAGAAATACATTCTACCTACTTGAAGGTCAGGACAAGCTTTCTGTAACACTTGAATTTTTTCCTGGATTTCAAACAGTTTTCTTCTTTCTTCTTGTAACTGCTTAAGCTCCCTTTGCTGCTGCTGAAGTTTAGCTTCATAGAACTTCTCTCTGCGTAAATAAGTTATCCACATGTTACTTGGCAAGATGTTGCCTAAGGCACAGCTCTACCATCCTCTGACAAAGGCTTACCTTGCTTTTTCATTCAGTCGCACATCTTTTTTTAACTTGTTGGAACTTGCTCGGACATTGTTTGGTTGTTGCTTTGTCTCTTCCACCTCACCCAACAAGTCACTAATATTAGATGCATTTGCAATTGCTCCTTGAGGTTCTGGATCATCATCCTGAAAGGATGTCAGAAAGGCAATTAGACTATTTCCAAGTTGATACAAAAAAAAAATTAACATATCTAGTTTGCCAAGTTTGTCTAGTGTGATTTTTTTCAAAACTAATCAGTATGAATAGCTTTATCTTTAGTACAAATCAAAAACTGAGAAGCCACTATCACCATGGCATCATGACTTTAAGATAAACTGAGTTAATGAGAGAATTTAAAGTTATTTAGCTCAACCTCAACTACAGAAATTTCCACTCTAAATACAATTAATTTGTCTCATTTTAGAAGTATAAACCACTTGCCCATGACTCAGTGAATGGAAAGATACAAGCATATGAAGAAAGAGCAAGGAGGAACAGAAGGACACTGAGGTGAACAAAACTGCTTATTTACCACAATCAGTGAACTTAAATATTAACAATAACAAAACTGCCCTTGAAAACTTAAGCTGAAATATTTTTGAGACAGTCCAACTGGTTTTCTATTCTGCTTTTATTTTTTTTCATAATTTCTGTATTTTCAGTTCTCAATTTGAAAATATGAAAGCCGTAGCCACTGCTGCTTTTGTTTTCCAATGTAATCATTTTTCATAAAGACTCTGCCAAACAGGAGAGATCACTGGTGACCAAGAATGACACAGCTCACAGACCTACTGTATCTTTGCTGAGATTACATACACATAACAAGCCTTGGAATTATGATGATTGAAGATATGCTATTAATTAGGCTATTTATCAAGGAAGCTGCTGAATCATCTCCAATTCTGATTTATACCACTGCACAGTTAGCACCTCTATAGTGATGATAAAAACCAACACTGATCTAGATGCTGAGAAATAATACAGGAGTATTATCTTGATATAACAATACTGTGTTTATATTGTTGCTATTGTAAAACATAAGTTCCAACTGAGCTTGATTTTAAAGTTCTCACATAAAGCCTTTTCATTTCTGATACACCTATGTGCATTCAATATGCAGACATTATGATGCTCAAATGTGCAGATGGTGCTCAAATGTGAGCATTCTGAAGGGACATTAGATTCATGACATTGTGCTGCTAACATCACTAAATTAGCGTGAGATTTTCTAAATTTAAAACACTTCCAACTTATAGCTGGGCCTCAAAACTCTCAAAATAAATAAAACCACTGCCTCCAAACCAAAATACTTCAAGTCAAATATTTTGCAACATCCAAAGATTTTAATGAAAAATGCTCCTTGTTGATTGAACCTACGGTTCAAAAACCTAAACATATTGAATGTTCAGTATAATCTTAAAAATGTCTAATATTTTAAAAAATAATACTCATCTACTTCTTGAATTGTATTTTGTAACCCAGTGCTAAGGTTAAATATAAAGACCACTGCTCTCTTAGGCTAGAATCCTCCAAGAAAATCCCTGAACTGAACCTCAGAAGTAGCACCTTTGAAATCAGAAAAATCAAACAGTACCTCTTTTTCCCTAGGCTATAAATAAGTATTTTACATGTTGCATTAAGCAATTTTTCCCTATCAGAAGGTACAGATAACATGAAACAGCAAACGCTAAATTTTTGTGCACAAGTTTACATTTGTTACATACCTGCACCATAGCAGCAAGGTTTTGTAACTGTCTAAGCTTCTGTTTTGCAGCTATAAGCCTATTGATCTTCTGCTCAAACTCGGCATCTCCAGCCACATCAGCCAGGCTGCTTCTGTGACTAGACATGGAATCTTCACTAACTCGATCTTCTTCCACTTCATCATCTTCACCTTGGGGTAGATCGAGGCGTTTGTCATTCTCCCTATTATGACAGTCTGGAAACAGGGAGAGGAGGAAACAAAACAATACCAAAGACACATTACTGAACTTCTGAAGTCCACTGTAATTACTGGGCATTAGAAAAATAATAGCTTAATGATAGGCTCTTGAAATTTCTTCTCATCAAACAAAGACCTCCAAAACTCTGTGCAGCTATCAGTTATTTGTACTAAGCAAAACTATTGCAAGATTTTAGAACATACCTAAAGCAGAAGACATTTTTAGAGTCCTTATATTAGCAGCAGATCGGTTGTTTATTTCACAGTCTGTATTAAGATGTCTTCCATCTCTGTTATTAGTTCCACACTGTACATTTGAGTTGCTATTTATTTCACTCCAACTACTGATTCCTTGAGGGTTTCTAGGGTGAAATAAATTACTCATGTTAACTTTTTAAAAACTGGTATAGATACAATTTTACTTTAGTGTTCTTCTACCTAGCTTTTTTACGAATAGGTGTTCTGACCCCTCTCCCTAAAAAAAACCCAACAACACCCCCAAACAAACTTCAACTCCATATAGAATCTGTCCAGACATTGGGAGGCTTTCCATATTCATCTCTCCAACAGATTACTTTTTTTTAAAACAGTCAAAGCAGCTTTAAATTATGCCCTGCTAGATCTGCAACAATACATTAGGTCTTACAGGTATATGTCTACATTACAGAAGCTTTATATGATGCATAGCTAACTGACTGTTCATTACTACCAGGTGAAGATCCTCAATGCACACAGGTGCCAAACTATAGCTATCAATGCCCCTGTAAACTGAAGGGTTTTTTACTCTAATTTTCTAATCTAAGACTGTAATCTTCTAGTGAAAGTCCATACACATAATTCAGTGCTTAAACCCAAAGGAATTACAGATTTTTGAAGTCTTATAGCGATTTACTAAATGTTCACATTTATCTAAATAAATAAGACACCAAGGATTAGATAATTATAGAACATCTGTGTAACAGTTACCTCAAATTAAAAAAAACCTGTAATTTTGTTAATGTAATAAGCACAGATTTAAGTTACTTCTGGTTGACTCAAATAAAGTATTTCAGGTTTCCTGAAGCAAAAACTCAGCTACAAAGACTTTGGATAACAAAAAATACAACAACCTAATATTTGTAACAGGCTGTGGATCTTCATGTTCAGAATCACTTTCTGATTCTTCTGTTTCTTCCTCCTCCTTAGTGTTTTCATTCACAGCATCTGTCATCATATCAGATGTCTGCTCATAGTAGTGAACTAACTCACGTAACTCATTCAGTCTCTTACGAACCTCATTTAGCTTCCTGAGGAGGAAAAAAAAGAGTATTTAATCTGTTTTGCCATATTATACTCATCTATGTAGAGTTAAAAAGAATATATGTACTTTAAAGTTCTTAGAGTTTACTGCCAGTTTCCAAGCTATAAGAACTTCACACTTGAAGCTCTGAATTCAGTTAACTGTATTGGATTGCTTATTAAGTAGTCTGTAATACTAAATTAGGTAGATCAAAAAATGGAAATAGTTACTTAACATGGAACTTATTAAAAAAGTAACACTCCAAATTACTAAAGCAAAGACTGAAAAAAAAATTAAAGAACTTTTACTGAAGCTTTTCTGTTGGATTTAGATTTTCATCCTCTTCACTCTCATTCTGAGAAACCAGGGAATCAGGAGGATAGGGAGCAGATGCCAGACTATTTGTTTCACCATTGACAACAGTTGCTATGCCTACAGGACCAGAAGCAGCTGAAGTTGTACTTCTTTGATCAACACTCCTTTGAGGAGAACCTGAAGCAGGAAAAACTACAGAAAAAACATACAGCTTATGTGAACAATTCATAATAAGAAATCTGCTTAAGTGAATTGTATTAAAAAAATGACAGAAAATATTGTCAATAGACAAAACAGCAGTTAATAACTTCTTTCCTTAGCAAAACAACAAGTTTTTTCATAAGTTTCATTCCATGCAATGCCAATAGACAGTGAGTAATAAGGTGGCTTCTGTAAACAAGATTTCAGTTTTTCCCTTTTAGCTTTATCAAATGTCAGAAGCAGAAGCTTTCATTCTGTGAATCTGCCCATAGAGATTTTTCAAAGTTTTACTTAGGGCTACATTTTCTTTTTATAAAAATTTAACATTTTAGAATTGTGATCAAAAGAAAAATCCTATTAAATTTTTCATCTCTGCTAAGATTTTTTTGTCCATTTTTGCTTCTTCCAGCTACATGAAATAATATCCCAATATGTTCATATTATATGCATTAAATACATATAGGAAAACAAGTACAGTAACATAACTATTAAATCAGCATGTGCTTCTCCAAGTGCATGCTTCAAGGCCTCATTTCTCAATGACAACCAGAATATGCTGTGATCACCCCTCAGAAGCTTTCAACCACAGGACAAACATCACCATTACAAATGCATTGTTAGAAATAGAGAGCGAGAGCAGCAAGTGGACAGGTCTACATCAATAAGCAGAGCACAAAGCCATTAAAAGAAAAGTCCAAAGCTCTAGACCAGTCAGACAGGTAAAGCCCTCTAGAATGGCCTGTGATTGAAGTCCCTGCCATGAGTGTACATGAAAGCCTTTTGACAGAGGGGGACCAAAGCCATATAGCCCTAAAGCTACTAATACATGAAATACTGAGTACACAAATGCAGACGTGCTGTAATAAAAACACACAAAGTTCAAGTTAATATGGCTCTTTTTTTCACAAGCCAGATGTGTCACAGATAAGCCTTGAAGAAAAAAAAACTCATCACATCCTCACATTAGTCATCTTCAGTGTTATAAACCAAAGTGCTAATAGACACTAATCATCATTAGTTATAGTTTTTCGTTAAGACAGAAATTTACACAGCATTAATACCATTTACATTAATATTGCCCCAGCACAGTTATTATCACCTGCATTTCATTGACCAATTGCAATCTGAAAGACAAAGTTATAAAACATGCACATTAAAAACATGGTATTCATGACAAAAATACAGTTCTGTCTGTATTGACTTACAGGAAGAGTTATTTAGATGCTGGTCACGAAGTGTATGAAGTTCTCCTAATAGTTTGTCCATCTTTTGCTTTTTACCCTGCAACATTCGCATCTTGTTGAAAAGCTGTGCCTTCTCATCTGACTGGTGTTCAGACATTGAAGAGTTTCTGCTTTGTGAAATCTCTCTGGTAAGTGAAAGGCTTTCTGCTTGCCTTCTATTGTCAGGCACAGACTGTGTCTAAAAAGAGTAATTCCATTTTATTCAGAGTACTACAATAAAAGGTAAATAAATTGTAAGAAACAAAAAGCTTTCTTATGGACCATCTATAAGCAGCACCAGAATCAACACCAAAGCAAAGAGTATTATAAAGGGAAATATACTGAAAACACTCTAATGACATTCCAATAATATACTGAGTTAATAATTAAATTGCAGTAAAGCAACTCTAGACCTCCATGGAAACCCATGAGACTCAAAGCATAGATCAGTCAGCTAATAACCCCTAAGAATTTTCAAGTTTGCTGAGTTTTTCAGTTTGGGGGCAATGCTGATAAATTCACTAGCAAATACAGATGAGCAAGACAAACATTGAACTGCACTGGTAAACAGAATAAAAACTGATAGTGGCAAAATCTATACAGTACCATCTCAGGACTAACCTGTGAATCATGAAGTTGGTTGTGAAAGCGTTGAATTAAGTCATTCAATTCTTCGTTCAGTTCTGATGTAAGACTCACTCCTGAAACACTACCTGTAGTTTCTGTTACAACTGGGCATACAGAAAAAGAGGAAAATATAAGTATTTTTCCACAGTGATGAAATAAAGGTTATTTAAATAAAAATGTGTGGTTTAGTAACATCAATATACTGACCCTCTAAAAATACAGCACGTATTTTTAATTTTGTGTCCTTTCCACCAGCTTTACTCTTGAAAGATGGCTTCTGCTACAAAAATACTAACAAGACAGCTCAGAGCTGCTCTGTAAAGGACCATAAAAAGGGACTTTAGGCTTGCTCTGTGTTTTGCTAAAAAGTTCAGAGCAAAATGAAAGCAACCAATTTGTCAAAGGCTGATAGAAACTCATCAGAAATAAAACTACAATTATTTAATATAGCTAAACTGACAACAGTGGAGGTAATTAACAGGACACCAAGCTTTCATAATGGTGTAAGTTGCAATATTTACATCTGCAAATGCAGTCTTGGAAGTTCTTTCTTCAAAAAGCTTTATGAGAGAAATAAATTTTTGCCTCTGCCTCAAAAGTTCATATTCAAACAATACTAAATATGCAACTGGCAGTTGAAAGACCCAAATAATTCTTCCTATTTTCCCCCAATACAAACCAACAGCTCATAAGAAAAGTCAAACACAAATATTATTTATTTTCCCCCAGAGATTATGACTTCATTACACACACAGTAAAGTTTCACTGTTACTGTGTGTGTAATGAAGTCATAATCTCTGGGGGAAAATAAATTTTTCCATAAATTGAATTTGAATCTTAACATTGAGTAGACCAATTCTTAGGAGAAAAACCCACACTTCTGGGATTTTACAGGTAAACAGCAGTAATCAGCTCTGGGTTTTTCCATGACCCATCATTTTATAATGTTACATTATCAACTCTTCAGAAAGAGGCTTTGCAATTAAAAAAACCTTTTTAATGTGTATTTCACAATTCCAGCTTTAATCATTCAGTCAGCATGCTAACATGATATAAGAGACGCCATCATTTCACATACCAGAATCATCCAGGACAGCAATGGCTTGCTCTGCTTTATGCTGCAAAGCAAGAAGAGCTGCCTGTCTTCCTTGAAGAGCCTTTAATTCCTCCTGCTGTTGTAGCATTCTTTTCAATAAATCATGCTGTTTCTTTAAGTTCTCCAACTCTTCCTTAGCTTCCTGTTGAGGATCTCTGGCCTGCAAGAGATGGAGCAACATTACCATAAATACAACCATTTACCTGTTGAGAACTAGTAAAAGAAGTGTCAAAGCAAGAACAATTTGCATATAAATTAACAGCCTGGTTAATGGAAAAAAGGAAAAATGAAACAGCTTCACCTTTCTGATAGGCTTTTATCTAAAAATAAACCTCATACATCCAACAGGAAGAAGCCTGTACCACCAAGACATGTTTATAGCTCCTGAGGGTTTAAGTTTTCTTTTTCTTTACAAAGCCAGTCAGCTGCCCTAATGTGACCCAAAGACTAATCCAAGCTTCCCTTTGTCTTTTAAATCATAACCGAGGGTATTAACCTTTAAGACTCCTAAAGGTAAGCAAGATAAGGCATTGCATCACGGAGCTACGTAAAACACAAGATGGCAATTGATTTACTGGCCTAAAATCTCTAAAATTTTCAGAAGAATGTTTTGGGCAGTAACTCATTTCTAGCCTATAATATGTTTAGTTCTATGTGCTGTATTTATGGCATTGATACTAGAATATGCCAAGTTTGGGTAAATCAATTTCGTAACAAAAACATGCATAGACCCTGTCTACATTGTTTTCAAACAATATTTTGAAATAGTTCTGAAAGAATGAAAGCGTGCTGAGCAGTTAAAATATATTAAAACTCAGTTATTTTCCTCATCCTATGCTAATTAGGAGCTGGAGATTTGCACTAAAACTTTTACTCAAATTAATTATTTTAATGAAACATCCACAGTCAAGATACTCATCCTGTCTGAAGTTGCATAATTGCACTTTGCACATGAAATAAGGGAAAATAACAAGCATTTACAAAGAACACTACTAACTTGAAAGTATAATCTTCTATCCACATAGTTTTAAGTTTCTAAAGTAGAAAATTCAGTCCAAATACTCTGCATCAAATATCAGAATAGAAGCAGGCATCTTATTAACTAGTTCTGGGTACTAAGGAATGCTCAACTTTCCAGCAGAGAAAGCTGAAAACATCCAGAATTCTAAACTCCTAAAAGTGTCACTAAAAGATGCACTGCAGCTAACACTGATGATTGCTGTTACACTCACCTTTCATTTAAAAAGCAGAGTAGAGGAAAATAGATCACACATTGAAACCAGCACAGGAAGGAACAAGGGGAAGAAATGGAACAAAGGTACATATCTCAGCCACAATCACCTATTAAATAGTCCAAGCTTTATCTAAAGTACCAAATTGCTTCAGTTCATGAAAACTGCATTAACAAAATTTTCAATCTTAGTTCTACATTTAGACTAGTAAGCTCGACAAAACATTGAAGCCTTTTATTTTAGGGGGAAAAATGACTGAATATAAGACTTTTAAAAAATTAAATCACAGGAAGGAAAATGATATAAAAAAGCTCATAATGGGTAAAAAAAGACATTTTAGACACTGCACCCCTTGAAAGCTTTTTCCCTTCCAACCAAATAGTTATATAAATAACTACAGAAAAACATTTGTGGAACAAGTTAAGGCTACTAATCTCTAATTTGTCTTCTGTATTTGGTATTAGTTTAAATGTGCATTGGCTGACTATTAGTGTAACCATAACAAGTGTCTGAAAGTGACATTTACAGTATGTTTTCCCAAGAAGGGAACAACAAAACTTAGAAAGATTATCTACATAAAATCATAACACCTGCTGTACAGAGTTACATAAATGCTAACTTTCAGTGCTAACAATTCAGAAGAAAAAGTTGTGAAACATTTCTATTCAAAGAAAAAACATTCTAGGCAAAGACTAATTCAGTGAAAAGACAGCTGGATACAGATAAGCAATCCAGTGGGAACATTCACTGTAAGTATCAAGTATTTGAAGCAATAAGGGAGATGGGGGAATGGGGAAGACTAGCCTGTATAAACCCTATTTGAGGCTAAAGTAACATTTTGAAGTGTACCTTTGAAAGCAATCCACGATCCTGGCTATTAATCCCACAAGGCCAGATTTCCCTGTCATTCAGAGCAGCTCTCTCACTTTTCCCTTTAGGGCTTGGTGTAACATCAATGTCTGTAACCTGTTCTTGTGAAGCTGAATTCCCTAGTTTGTCCTCAATGCAGGGCCGATAACTCAAACTAAAAGATACCTCCTGTATCGAACAGTTTAGTATGTTAGATTTTGAAAATGTGCTCCAACTTAGCATGCATTTTTAAGTTACAAACCTACCCACTTTTTCTTGTCAAATAATGAAAACTAGTATCTAGTAACATCTGCTAAAGAGTGAAGACATTTTTAGTCATTTTTTGAATTTCCACAACAATAAAGTTCCATATAGAAATCAACATTATACAACCAGAAGTGTGCACTCTGCATGTAAAATATTCAAGCTGCACGTAGAGAGCTCAGGTGCAAAATTAAGAGCCAAACAAAAAACTTAAGCACAAATTTTGCAAATACTGAGACAAATGTGAGTTTACATGGACACTTCTTAAAAAGCATACCTTTTTCTGCATTTTCTAAATTTAATTTTTTAAGTTTAAAGTGCATCTTCCATGTCTATAATTTTATTTCCTTACAGAAATAGAAAGAGTTCTTATAAAGCTAAAAATAATTACAAATCTTCCTAATGTTTTAACTGTTTTATTTCCAAGCAGGTAAATTCTCCTTATCCATAGGACAATCAGTATGCCAACTGGCCAGAAAGAGTACCTGCTCTCTGGTACTTTTTCACGTAAAAAAAAAAGCTTTTATAAATAGAAAGATAAATGGACTGTTTATCTCAGCGCTAAATTCAGAATATATTTTCTGAAGAGGCGCCCAGCTTTCCAAAACATGAGAGAAACTTGTGTGTTAGGTCTATCTTATCACTAGAAAGATGCTTGGACAATGGCCTACTAATGAAACATTTCTAACTCTCCTCTCACCCAACACCCAAAAATTTTTCCCACTAACAGAAACAAACCTAGGGATGAAAAATTGCATAGAAAGGTATTTCTTCCTACAAGTGACTCAATTCTCTGCCAAAGTACACATTTAACTCTTCATTGTGCTTTGAAGAAAGAATAAAAGATTCAAAAGATTCTTCAGATTGCTATTGTGACAGAATCGTTACTTTTCTTCTCATATTAAAAAAATAAAACCACACATGCATGGACACCTCCTGAACAGAGTGCTTGGGGATTTATTATTTTTCATCTGAACTGCAGATTATGACACTATCATAAGACCCATGATAAAACCAAAATGAAGCCCTCATTTCTACCTCAATTGCTAAAAGGCAGCTTACCGTGATATCTGAAGCCTCAGACTGCACATCAATGTTTAGCGATGTGCTCTCACCTACAGAACCAGATCCCACAGCTGAATCTATAGTCCGAACATCATCCTCCTCATTTTCTCTAGCCTGAAATATTTCATTGGCACAAATCAAAAGCTATATAGGGGGCAGTAAAAATGAATTATGGAAGGTACTACATACCAAAATGAACAATCTCAGTAGCACCATCAAAACATAAACGGTCAACTCCTAAAAAAAGCTTACAGTACAGAAACAAAAATATTATGTTCTCAAACTTACAAGCATCTTTTGCAAAAATTTCAGATAGGATTTCTCCTGCTCTTTAAGGTCATCTATAAGGTGTGATAAACGCTCAACATTGGCCGATCTTTCATTTTTCTCTACAAGATCATCCCGCATGGAGCTGGCCTTAGCAATATAGTCGCGAATCTGAACTAGTCTGCTCACAATCTGCAAAGACACTGAAGTTACTGAATACATTCAGCTACAACTGCAATGCACAAGACACAGTGATAGGAACAGCAAAGGAGTAATGAAAGGGGGATATGTTAGTTCTTTCACTCCTCTGAGCACTCTTCCACAAGTGGTTAAAAGTCAACAGCCTTTATAAGGATAGATTTATGCATGCAGGAAGTTGCAAGGCTGAAGCACAGCTTCTGGTCGGTCAATACAGGCTAAAACACAACTGAGCTCATCAACATAGGAAAACAGTCAACTGTGAGAGAACTTTCTGGAGCCATATAAAAGGGAACAAACCTCTAAAATGAAAATTATTGTTACTTCTGTTACCAACAAGCAGATTTCTAAAGAACAATAGATGATTAAGTTGGGTTTCACATTGTCTTCAAGTTCCAGAAGAGTAGGAAGTTAAATATTTCCAATAAAGATTAATACTTTGAAGAAATTTAGAAAGCAGCACTGAAGATTGAGAGTCAATATTTTGTAAACTTTATAGCTGTATAAATACCTGGCTACTATCCATCGCTTGTTCTCCCCTTCCATCTTCTTGAGCAGACACTTGACAATTTTGCAATAAATCCTTGCTTAGAGCAGCACCAAACAACTCTTTACATTGCGCTGATACCCCACCTTCCTTTTTTTGGGAACCTGAGGCAGGATCTTTGCTTTTGTTAGTGTTAATCTGCAGTGACAGGAAGTTGAATGGTTTTTTGCTTTCATTAAGTTGACGTTTGTTATTAGCAGCCGTTGCCCTGCCTTGAGAATCACTTCCAATGCTTCTCTATATACAAACAAAAGAAAGAACAATTGCTTTATTTTTTCATTCAATATGTTCTCAACACTGCTTCTTTTCCCTGCTTGTATTACTATTTCTACGGTACTAATAGACTGATTTTAAAGTTACCTAATCAGTCACCAGTTGGCCAAAAGTTAGCTGAAGACTGCACCAATAATTTTTTGCCACAAAGTTTTCAGAAAGCAAATCCATCCTCCCAGAACAATGAGAACCAAAAACATTCTGTAGTTTCTCAGAATTTAGTTCCTCATTTTTGCTGTGACCTCGACCTCTACTGTAGCGAAAAGCATTCTACTTCTCCAGGTACATTCGAGAAAAGAACAATAATAAAAGAGCAACATATTCCTGTACAGAACATAATACCTCAGAACTTCAGCTTTTCTTTAAAACCTTGTGAATAACGACATGTTGCCCTAACATAAATTTGAGGAGGAAGTTATGCCCAGCCTTTAAACTGTAAGTCAGCACAACGAATCACATTGAAAAGAATCTTCACAACCAAAGAAGTTAGCAACAACCTTTGGTAAAGATGAACTAGCCTATGTTCTGAACACAAACTTATGCCTTGTTCCAAAAGAATCAATCCCTCATACTTTTCCTTAGTTTTGGATGGGGGAAGGATGAATGAGCTGTATTTCCAAAAAAGTAGTTATGGCTCAAGAATTTGTGCCATAACATTCTCTGCTCTACTGAGGAGCAGTTTTTAATGACACTCCTCTGCTTAATCTACAAGGGTAACAATGTTCAGGATCACAAACTGGAAGTTCAAGAACAGGCTTTCAAAATAAGGTAACAGCTATTTTCAAGTAGCACACAAGTATGATGAGTAAGAAATACTGCTTTCAGGACACAGGAATTTGTTAATGGCCGAGAGCAAGAAAGTGAAGACAGCTATCACACAGAGAAAAGCCACAGTCCTGAATGTTCCTTTATTTTCTTAAGTTCGAAACCAGGATTTTGATTTGGTTGTCATGGTGCCTTTTTTTTTTTTTTTTTTTTTACCTTGATCCCTTATGAAAGGATTCTTTACTCATCTGTCACTTTATTAAGAGATAACCGAATACATTTTGGAATCACATTTCTAGTGGGAGCTAGTATTCATACAAACCTGATCCAGATCACTGAAGTTTATTCTTTGTTTAAGCCTTTCAAGTTCAGCCTGCTCTGGAACAGACATCTGAGTCATGTATCGAGCATGAGGAAAGCTATGAGAAGTTCTGGTCTTGCGTCGTTCCATTCCCGGTGAAGACTCTGGAGATATGTCATTAGTAAGTCTCGTTTCGCCTTCCCCACTAAGCTTTTTCTTGTTTTTCTCTGAAGATCTGTTTGCTTTCTTCTGTTGACCTCCCCAGTCCTTAACGGGAAGGAGAGAGAAGAAAAATCATATTTATAATCAACACAGGCAAAAAGCAAATGTTTGCATTCTGTGACAGAGTTTACTTCCATTTTAGAAGTAAAAATAGCAAGCCACACTGAAATAAGCTCTAAGATTTCTAGAGGAAACGTCACTTTACAAAATAAAATTTTCTCTACTGCAAAATTAAAAATAGCTTGGCAGAAAATGTTAAATGCATTAAATTAACTTCAAATGAAGTTCAAGTTGTATTTTAACTCTTTGTTGGGGACTCTTTCACTTTAAGGAGTCCAGAACTTTTTAAATTATAGCTTTCACTTTCCTGTCACCTACAATGGTTTTGTGCGTATCCACTTTACTTACCCAAATGCTTTCCATAAATACCTCTGTAGACCTCACAATCTCTGAATTATACCCATTGCTTGCTAACATCTACCTCAAGTTTTCCAGGTAAAGCTGCACTGGATGCAAAGCCATGCATGACGAGGCTTAGGACTTTGCATTGTTATCTGTCACTAATAAAATCTAGCTAGTAGTTCTAATGTACAGCATCAAATGGCAACAAAAAGAAAAGAATCATTTTACCGTGTTGTTCAGCCGGTCATCAAGGCTCTCATTGGTCCAGCTGGGCAAGTCCTGATCATTCATGCCTTCTTCAAAGGGACCACCTCCTGTTGCCATGACAAGTGATCTATAAAAGCAATCTATAAGAAGGAGTTGAAAGAAATGTGCAGTATTAAAATCAGATTACACAGAAAATGTTAAAGATTCATGATCCGAGAAGACAACTACATATTCATTATAAGATGAAAACACAAAGCTGTTTAGGAAACTAAACTTCCCATTTACTATGCTCTGTTACTAGAAACGTATCAATGAGAAGAACACAGAAACTGGCATTAAAAAAATAACAAAATAGTAGTTGTGGGTTTGAGGCTTTTAAACCTCTATGATCTGTGAAAGAAAGTTGGGTTTGGTTTTTTTTGGGTTTTTTTTTTGAATGTTTCAATTGTCCTCACTTTAAAATAAACAATACAGTGCTCAGAAAGGCTGCTTTGTAATTCATAAAGCCTTCACTTTCAGCACATTAAGTGACTGGAGACCCAGTATGTCAAACTTTCACATTAATTTTAATACTGAGATATCAAAAACAGAGTACTGAATGACACACTTGAAAAAACACAAGGAAAACAGACATCAAGTCAAAAGGATTTTGACTTTCATTACCACTCACCAAGCTATTTAAGCAGTGAATGACCTGCCACTTACATTACAGTTTCTACCAAAACCAAACAAAATAATGTGCATTTCATAGACCTTAGCTGCTCTCCATCAGTGTCACTCTAAGCAATATAAAGCAACTTAAATGTTTGAAGCTTTCATTTCTTGTTTTGACATTAGGACTAAAAAAAAAACCCAAAACTTTTAAAGTTGAAAGATCAGAAAAAGTATTCCTTTATGAGAGTAAAATTAGATTAGCCTGTTACAAAAGGTGAAGAATACATAGCTAACTATATTTACTAAGTGCTGCTGGCACAATTCCACTGCAGAAAGCTACAAAATTTACCTATGAAGAACTGTAACAGATGCAGAAGAAAAGAAGTCTTGCAGAGATTTACTTTCTCCTGCTCATTTCCACTACTATGTTAGGACATAACCCTAAGCTTAACCGAAAAAATAAAAATATAGAAGTTGATAGGAACCACTTTCTCATCTTTTTACTGCAACTATTTCATACTAATTTTCACAGAGTGCAGGTGAAAAAATAATTCAAAACTAAAGATTAGGAAGTAGATAAGAAGCTTGCTGTTTTTTTTTAGTATCAGTTCCAGAAAGGAAAACAGATTAATCTCGAACTAAGTTTAAAAGCTCTCCTAGTACACCTATCTTGCTTAGGTATAGGATTCAACCAAAATCCCATAGTACAGCCCTCTCAAGAGGCACACTTACAAAGCAGTATTCCTATGCAAACACAGCCAATGACTAAATCATAAAGGAAATGGGATCTACCAGGCATGCTCCTTTCACCATAACTACATCTCCACTCGGCAGTGCGCCAGCCCAGGTCACGGTAACGCAGTTAGGAGTCATTCCGCTTCTGCATCGCACAGCCACAATCAGAACACACCCAGAACAGGTGTAAGTGCCTGCTGCTTTGGCAACTATGCCCTGCTGTCCCTGCACAAGAACTCATACTCCCTTCCTCATCCCAACAGAAGTGCCCACTAGGCCATGCAACCAGAGGGTACATCCTATAAAAAGTTCACTGGGAAGTTCATGCCAAAACTTACGAGCATTCAAAGCAAATGCGTAATTATCAGTTTAAAAACAGTCATGGTTTTAATGAACTATCTTCAGTTACAGATAAGCTGTTCAGCTTTGTACATGTGTAGGACCCAACATTTCAATAGCCACTGTGTCCTGACCTATGTCACCGAACATAATGAGGAAGATTAGAGGCCATCTGGGTTTACAGTCCAGTTCTGTAAGCCGTTTCCTCATCATCACGTTATATAATTCTACTAAAACCATAGCAAATGTGGTTTTTTTTCCCTATCTTCCACTGTAAAAAGAAGTGGCAGTATTAATCTTTACATAATACAAGTAACTACTCACATTCATTTTTTTAAAAAACTTTCACAAAACCTGTTTGCAACTCTCTTTGCTGTAGGAGACTCTCACTACCTCTGAAGTAAATTCACTGCCCCAGATGGAATATTGTGAATAACAGGACTCTCAAACAGAGACCCAGCATACACCAACATCCCTGATAAACACAGCTCAAAAATAACAGTATCTTTATTATTTCCAGCAAGCAGATTTTAAAGTGTTCTAACAGAAGCAGCCCCTTACCAAAAAAAGTTTCTAAACATTCCTATCATAGTCTTAGATACCTCCAAATGAACTAAAATCAAGCAAGTTTAAGATCCAAGAGCTCTGATGGTATATTCCCTCTTTAACTCAGTTGAAAAACACAAAGAGGTTCAGCTAGGTTTTTTCGTCTTTCACATGAAGCTGTGCATTCCACCTCCACATTCACATTTCACCAATATGCATTTTTTCTTTGCTTTCACTTTACCAACTGTTTCTACAAAAAGATCTTCTAAAAGTTTTGCTACCTTCCCATTATCCACCTATTTACCTACAGCAACCTATTGCCAATTTCAGGTTCATGCAAGTCACAGGATCTGTACAAAAGCTTTTGAGCATGTGTCTACTGCCGTAAAAGATTTATGAGGGATTTGAGAAAAAAGACTTTCAACTATACTTTCTACAGAAATAATAACTTCAGATAACATGCAGAATTATAGGCAAAACATTCTGCACATATATCAGCAACATGCAGATGGCAGAGGAGAAACACTACTTAACACGCAAGCAAATCAAAGGTATGTACTTCAAAAGGCTCTTTTTCTACAGTAAAGATGCTCTTGAGAATTTTTTCCTATAGCATTCATGTGAACGCAGGGGCTCTCTAGAGCATCTAAGACAGCAAAGAGAAAACTTTTGACAAGTAAAAAACAATTAAATGGAAAACAGAAAGTCGCAAAAAGCCATCATAGCACCATAAAGGCTGAAAATGGGGCCAAACATTTCTTTTTAAGTTTAGCTTTTTAGGACGTACGCTCCTCACTGGACATTAACTCCTAAAAAGCAAACTACACAGTATCATCACACAGGAGCAGCCAACAGTGCAAATCCTCTCCCGCTGCACCGGACAGCGCTCACACACCCCGGTTATGGGCGGTGAGTCCGGCACTTCAGCTTCCAGCGCCGGGGCCTTCCAGCGCCCGCAGGCTCTGCCGTCCCGACCTGCTCCGATCACAACGGCGGCCGCCGAGCGCAGGCCCGGCGGGGCTCGCCGCCGCCAGCGGGGCCGGCGGAGCGAGCGATGGCCCGGCGGTTCTGCCGGCCGCACCTCTCGCTGCCTGAGGCGGGCGAGGCGCTCCTGGCCCGGGGGCGGCGGACAGAGATCCCGCTTCTTCCCGGCGCCAAAGCCCTGGCGCCGCAGGGTGCGTGGGTAGGCGGGCTCTGCTCTAGGCGCCTCCACTGCCGGCAAGGCGGCGGCGTCTCCTTGGAGAGCGAACAACGCGCCCTGCCCTGCGCGAGGGGCGCGGCCCGCACAGCCCGCCGCTACCGCACGGCTTCCCGCCGCCCCGCGCCTGCCTCCCAGCCCACTGCCGCCCCCGAGCCCCCACCCTCGCGGGCCGTCGCCCTGCACCAGCGCGGCCCCGCCGCCACCAGGGGAAAGGGACGGGGAAGGGGCAGAGCGCCGCGCGAGGGGCAGGAGAAGGCGGCTCACCCCGCGCCGGAGGGGAGGTCACCGGCCTGGCTCCTCCTCCGCCGCCGGCCGCCACTCGCGGGGCCCGGGCTGCCCGGACGAACGTTTCGCCTTCGGGCAGCGGAGGAGCGGCGCGGCCTCGCTTCGCCCGACGCGGCGGGACGGGGCTGGCGGAGGCGGTCACGGCGCTCCTGCCTCAGCCACCGCCGCCATCTTGGCCACCACTGCGCGGGGGGCGGTTCCTGGCGGAGGGATACAGACACAGAGGGACAGACGGACACTCACCGTTACCTGGCAACCTCCGCCCGCGCAGGCCCTTCCGCTGCGCGCGCTCCGCCCAACCGGAGCGCGGGGCGCGCGAGGAGCCCCGCGCAAACGCCGGGGCGGTCGGAGAAGAGCGGTGGGCGAAGAAACTTCAACTCCCAGCGTGCATTGTGCGGGGGGCGCGGCGCCCCCAGGCCCGGCGGCGGTGCCTCCTGGGAATGGTAGTTTTCCACTCAGGGCAGGCCCCACTCCATGACACAACTGGGGCGCAGTCACCGCTGTCGTGCGGCGGGCGGAGAGTCGCCGATCGTGTTTTTCTTACAAAATAAAACACGAAAGCGGTAATAAACTCTGTAAATGCTTTTGCCTGATTGGGAGACGAGTAAAATCACGGCGAAACCCTAAGCGTGGACGAGGATCAGTTCTTGCCCTCGTTTGGAGCAGTGTCGACTACTCGGTTCCTGTCAGCCTTCGGCGTGTTTTGCTCCTTGATTTGAAGCATGGAGTTTACGCATTTAGATTCTTTATACTTTCCTTTGGCGGAAAAAATATAAATAGAGGGTTTGGCACTTAAAAACCGATAGTTGTGCGTAAAAGCCTGTGTGCTGTGCTTGGCATTTAACCGAAGTGAAGAGAATCACAGAATATGCTGAGTAGGAAGCGACTCTGTAAGATCCAACCCTGGACCTGCACAGGACTCGCCAAGAGTCACACCCTGTGCCCCAGAGCATTGTCCAGACGCTTCTGCAGCTCTGTCAGGCTCCGTGCTGCGACCCCTGCCCTGGGGAGCCTGTTCCAGTGCCCAGCCACCCTCTGGATAAAACACGTTTCCTAATATCCAGCCTAAACCTCCCCTGATGCGACTTCAGACCCTGTCACTGTCACCACAGGGAAGAGATCAGTGTCTGCCCCTTCACCTCACAAGGAAGCTGGTGTCCTTCAGGGGACTGGGATAACACACAGCATTTCTATTTCAGTGAAGCTGCTATCGTATATATGACTTTCATTTGGAGCGATGGTCCCTTGTCAAAATGGAAAATCCAAGCATTTTCAGCATTTCCATTACACTGAGTTTCTAAAGCAAAAGCATTTAGCATTCGCATAGTCCTCATAATTGATCCTGTTAGAGAAACATACTACTGGTACAACATGGAAATGTAATTAGTCCTCATCTCTCCCATATTAGGACTTACATTATTGTATTTTGCTAAAGCAAAAAAAAAAAAAAAAAAAAAAGGATAAATGAATCCTTTTCAATGACCCATTAATTTTTCTGTAATCTAGAAAAGGATTGGAAAAGCATCAAAATAAAGATATTTCAATAAAAGTAATTTCGTTATCTCCAGCACATTCACCCATACCAAAGTTCTAGACAATACTGAGTGAAAGAGATGAGCATAAGACGGCCTATTAGAGCAGAATCTTTCTCCCATTTCTACCACGACCTACTTGACTGTATAGCCACAAGTGAAATGGCTTTGAAAACAATCTACAAATTTGATGGAAGCTCTCTGTGTGATGAATATATATTAATATATATATCAGTCTCTACTGCAATGCTGTAGCTAATAAAGAAGTTAGTTTATCAGCATTTTTATTATAGTTTTAACTAATGTCCTATTTTTCTGAACTGAGGTATCATGTCTGGATAGTCATCACAATATTGGCAGTGTTGCTGTTGATAAGATGCTTTCTGTTGTTACAGTGACAAATCTCCCACAGCATGGCGGTTGGAGGCTGAATTAAAAGAGAAAATACTGCCCTTAGTACACTGACTACAAGTTGTTGTTTTTTTTTCTGTGCCTTATTCTTAAAATACATCTCTCTCATTTCTATTGTTTCCTAAAAAAAACCAAAAAAAACCCCAAAAAAACAAAAAAAAAACCCAACAAAAAAAACCCAAAAAAAAACCCCCAAAAAAACCCAACAACTTTGTAAAGGAAAAAAAGCCAAACAAATGGACTGTAGTATGTTTCAGTAACAATAGAGTATTTTAGTGTGGTTCCTTATATGTCATAACTCTGTGTTTTCCTTTACATAGTATGAGCTTACGGCATCATTACTCTGATTCTTGTTTGACATTTGGAGATGATTTTTCTCTTCTTATTTTCTGCCCCAGTTCTGGAATTGGCTGCAAACTTATTCATGTGTTTTCTTTTCTTTTTGCTTGTTTGTTTTAGAAATGGCTCCTCAGAGCCATTTTCCATTTGGGATGGAGAATTCTAAAAGATACAACAGGCATGAAGGAATTGTGGATTGCCCTGCAAGATGCATTATTTCCAGTAGGTGGTTCTCCACTACTGTTGAAAAATAACATCTCAGGATTTGGGAATGATTATGAAGCAAAATTCATATGGCTTAAATAATGTATTTTAAATTAAATAAAATTAAATAAATTTTGGGGGGTGGGGGGAATAGGAAGTTCTTCATCAATGCTAAAGAGCCTCTAAACAGACAGCAGCTAAACCCCACTACAAAGGTCTCTGTTATAAGCACTTCCCTCAGCAACATGTCAATGAGTGCATGAAACTGAAACTGAAAGGATTATCTTTGAGATAGCCCAATTTAATTAGGATTAAAAGCCATGTCAGAGATCTAATTATATTTTTCTTAGACAACTTTTGGCTGTATCTTGTTAATTTCTCTTTATCATTCCAAAGTGAAAGAAAGCAAACAAAATACAGGCATGTAAGGACAGGAGGCAAGAAGTGAAAGATTAATGTTTTATTGAGACAGAGGAGATGTGAGAAGCATCTGGGAAGACAGATTTTTGAAAGCAATTGAAACAGATATAGTAATTAATTGTGCTTGTGGTTCAAGCAGTAGTTGTCCATTTTTCCCTGATTTTATGACAAAGAGGTTTTTGCTGAAAAATTTAAACTGGCCAAAAATGACCAGCCTACCATAATATGGTTACATATGAACTACTAAGCTACGATACTAAAGGTAATTTTTTTCTTTCTTTGCATAACTTTAGATTGGAAAAAATCTTTTAAATCAAGAGTTTCAAGTTGACTTATATAGGAAGGTGAAGTGTCCACTTATCTCTATGAGGTCTGATAACAAGCTAACCAAGTGTAAGGGGAGAGGCACAGGCATTTAAGACCACAAAGCTGAGTTTTAGGCTGGTCGAGATTCCCCAATTTAATACTAATGAAGAAACTAGGACAAAAAGGAAACCATTTTTGATGATCTACTCAAGCAAAACAGTCATCAGAAGCAATAAAGGAAAGAGGAATAACTGGAAGATAGGTATTAGCTAACTTAGATCCCAGGAGAAATCTCAGATGGAGAATGAACAGGACCCTGTTATAAACATTTTCCACATCCTTAAGGGTGCAGGAAGTAATCCTCTTGGTACTGCTATTCCTCACCAATCTGTAACATTTGCTGTTATATGCACTCCAGGTAGTACATTCTAGAAAATATTAGTGACTGGAGTCAGACCAAGTGATAAAGTGATGGATGGATCCACAAGACATAACCAATTTTGTTTTATTAAACACACTTACTTCACACAACCAGAATACATTGGGATCACCCGTGCTGCCCTGCCTAAAAACCCTAAACCCACATTTTTCTCATTGTCCTCTTTGAAGTCAGACTCCATTGAAACCTATTTTTAAAACTATTTTAAAAGGGGTCAGTATAGAACAGAAGTTGGCAAGGTTATGAGTATTATTTCACTCTTTAGAAATAAAATTTTTTTTCTTTTAGAAATAAAATTATTTTAAAATAAAATAAAATTTTTCAAGCAACATACAAATATAGGGTTTAATCTGGATGTCTGTCTATGTTGTTTAATTCAACATTATATTTGACATAGAGTACTCTTAATTACATAGTCTAATCTTTATTTTTTTTTCTATTTGTAGTCCATTAACATATTCAGATTATTCCTTGGCCAACAAAAGATAATCCAAGAAGAAACACAATACTTCAGTTTTTCTGAAATTACAGATTTGACTTAACCAGGTATATCTGCACATTCTTCAGAAAAGTGAGTAGGAACAACCTTTAATTCGCAATATCTTGGGTGGTTGTTTTATATGACGATATTGTCTAGCCACTTCCACATTATTTAGATTTCTGGAGTCATTAATTAAGTATGTGCTATGTTGAACAAATAAGTAAATTCAAAAGTGAGCAGGAAAAAGATAAAATTATGATACACCTTAAGAATACCACATAATTTTTTATCTCTGAATTGATTCAAAGAACAAGAATATGAAAGAAATAAGTGATCCTTCCACAGACAAATGATCAGAACCAAGAAGTTTCACTTGCAAATTATAAGAGGAAAAGGTTGTGGATTCTTCCTATATTTTTTGCTTTGCAGCT